CACCAATACACCATGCGCCGACGCGACACATCGTTGCCACGGTGTGACCACTGACCAGGGCCGGCCGGGTCGGCGCCCGGGCGTGCATGCCCTTCCAAGATTTGGAACGTGACGATACGAGACAAAAATCCGCTTGTCCGCTCCGCGCGAGAACCCCACCATGTCCCACGCCACGCGCGCGCAGCGACACACACGCTGCTTCCGCCAACGGCGGGGGGCGACTGCCCCCCCCCCCCGGGCCCCCCATGGCCCCATCACACCATAACCGTACGTCATCCACGTCCCCTCCGGCGTCCGTCGGTGCCTCCGTGCCGTGGATTGGAGTATGTATAGTAGTACTGCCTACGGCGAGGACCGCATCACCACGGCATCGTTAATCACGGCGACATCACGGGTGAGACCTCGGAGCACCCGTAATGTTAGAGTAATAAGTTATTATAAAATATGTACATCTCAGCAGTAAACTATATTAATAATAAATCAATTCAATGGCATGTCTACATGGGTATCTATAGCTCTCTAATCCATTGCCTCTTTTTTCTCTATAGACTATCTCCATGTCAGTAGATAGCTTTGCTCTCTCTCTTTATTTAATCTCTTCCAAGTAGAAAAACTAGCATGGTGGCCCGCGCAGATTGCGCGGCTAGCATCATTATATTTTCTCTCATATAATAGCATATAGTATGTTTTCTCATTATATTATTCAAATATATTCAAATGACAATATAATTTTAAATTTTGCAATAACTTTACAAAACTATTAAGGTGTAATATTCATATTGTATTTTATATACGTGTTAGTTATTAATTATTTTTAATATTAAATTTTAGTTATTTGTAAATTATATATATTCCTATATGGACTCTAGACTCGTTTTTTAATATTTTTTTTTCTTTAATTCCGAATTTTCTGTAAATTGTATTTCTATATAGACTCTATGCTTTTCTTCCAATATTATTTATTTTTATTTTTGAATTTTTATTATTTCTAATTGTATTTCTATGTGGATTCTAAACTAATTTTGAATTTTGAATTTCAGTTACTTCTAAATTTCTTCCCATGTTTTTCTTAATTTCGAATTTTAGTTATTTGTAAATTATATTTTTATACGGACTCTAAACTCTACTTTTAATTTTATTATGTTTATTCCAAATTTTAGTTAGTTTTAAATTCCTATTTGGACTCTATACCCTACTTCTAATATTCCTTATTTTTTAATTCCGAATTTCTATTTTTTTTCGTAATTGTATTTCTATATGGACTCTATACTCTACTTCTAATATTCCTTATTTTTAATTCCAAATTTCTATTATTTTATAATTGTATTTCTATATGGACTCTACACTCTACTTCTAATATTCCTTATTTTTAATTCCGAATTTCAGTTATTTCCTAATCGTATTTATATATGGACTCTATACTCTACTTCTAATATTCCTTATTTTTAATTCTGAATTTCAGTTATTTCCTAATTGTATTTCTATACGGACTCTATACTCTACTTCTAATATTCTTTTTTTTTAATTCCAAATTTCAGTTATTTCCTAATTGTATTTCTATATGGACCCTAGTCTCCTCTTCTAATATTCCTTATTTTTTAATTCCGAATTTCAACTATTTCTAATTTGTATTTCTATATGGACTCTGTTTTTCTTTTTCTCCGATTAATGTGAGAATTTCTAGACCATGAGAGCGAACGTAGAGGCTTCTTTTTCTATTTCTTTAATAATATAATAGATAGATATACTGACATAGATCTCTTGTAGAGAGCCTATAGATAACTATTGCGGGTGCGATTTTGCTATATCTCACTCGAAAGATTTCTTCTTATCTCTCACTCGATTTTCTCACTCAAATTTACAGTGTGTTTTCTTGTAAATTACAGTGTAATTTATGAAACTTACACCGTAACTTTTGTAAGTTACGGTGTAATTTTTGAATCTTCGCATGTAAGTTTTGAAATTTATATTGGATTTGGTCTTTTTCTTGAAGATATGGTAATTTAGTGTCCATTATGGTGTTTCTTAGTTGCTTTTTGCATTTTAATGTGTCCATTGGATTTTAATCTATAGATTAAAAATCTGTGTGATATGATCATAAAAATCTTTCGAAAGATGCATAGGTACTCCCTTGCGGGTGCCCTTAGTAGCACTTGTCACTAACGATAGGTCGTAACCAAGCAAGCTACCGATGGCTAAGATTTTAGGTTTATTTTCTGCTCGTGATTGGGACATTGTACATACCGATATCTGAAAGTGACGGGTTGTGCATGGTTGGGACTTTGGGAGGGACCTTCTCCTCCTCTTCTTCTTCCTCCTGTTTTTTAATATTTGGGCCATTGACTCTTTCCACATGGATCACCAACCACCGAGCGTGTAACAATGAATAAACTGATACCTACCACCGGGATATTCCGTTGCCGACGTTGATTATGTAAATTTGGTGAAGAAAAAACCCTGTTGTGCTGGACATGCGGCTATATATCGGAAAGCACTCCCTCTGTCCTAAATCCGGATAATCTTTTGTCTAGATTCGTTGTACTAGAAAATATCATATTTTTTTCTAAATTTAGTTTTTTTTGGAACGGAGAGAGTAGTCTTGTGGGCAAAGATCCGTGTAGATGCAATCTTTTCTCTGAAATTTTACTGATTGGAATCAACTCTTAAAAATAAACTAGTGGGAGTATAAATAATCGGCGGTAGGCACTTTTGTTAAGGCAAGACATGCACTCGACATGTATCCCTTAATCTACCGTCATTTCAGTTCTGTATGTGTGCAACATGCATGTGAGCTTTTGCTTGATTAAGGAATGTGCTTGCCAAGTCAAATGAACTGGCCACTACTTCACGCTGATTAAGCTAAAATCTGGTCAAAAGGCTCACGGAAATGGGACTCGATCCGAACGAACTCCAAAGACTTTGCTTTCGCAGGTTCTGTAACTCTTGCTCCCGTGTACACGGTCACCGGCCTAACAATTGGTGAAGTGTAACGTGCCAGAACTCTCTTGCCGTGAGAGTAATGGTGGGCCACCACCGTGTCTACAATTCAATCATGTTGGCCATGCATGTACCTGTCAGCTGGCCCTGTTGCTTGACAGAGTGACAAGTGCTCCCAAACGCAGATAATTCCAGTACTTTAATTTGATCTCGAAAGCCATGTTTGAATTGTCGCTCCAATCAGTCCATTTGTCTGATTGGTTTAGATCGGATGACGAGATCCTTTCACAGATTAGCACGCATCATATGCCTTCGAAATGGACACCCAACATCCAAGTTCAGAGCCCAATTTGCACACTTTGGCCTGGTTTAGTTTTCAATTTTTTCTTTAAACTTTAAACTTTTACAATACATCAAAACTTTTCTACACACATAAACTTCTAACTTTTCCGTTAAATCGTTCTAATTTCAATTAAACTTCTAATTTTAGCATGAACTTAAACACACCCTTTGTTAAACTGAGGAAGCCGTCGAGCAGGGCACCGGGATCTCGAGGGGAGTAGGGCTCACTATGAGCAAATGCTAAAGTAACGGACCGTCTAATATATGAGTATCATATGTGATGCCCCCTTGACAAGAAAAGACTCGAGTTCTTTCCAGCCTTGCTTGCCATGGCAGGAAAGGTTATTCAGTGGCGTAGTCCTAAGCTTCCTGCGGACTAGTATGTGCTACACAATAACACTAAGTGTATTATATCACACAAAGCGCACGCTGAATGGCACATGTACAAGTCATGCATGACCATGACGATGAACGGATTTGTCTAATCGTAATTACTGCTTGGTTGCTGGTGAAATTCAGTCAAATATTTGCTGAAAATTTTAATTTAGTTCAGTTTTTAACTTAGATCGGTTTACCAAGTGGTTTCTCGATACATACTGCTAAATCCCCGACCCCTAGCGGTATAACTTTCAACCAAATTTTGATTGATTTTACTGTTTCAATTTAAATTCTTGAAAACCATCTAAATTTTTACTCAGAGTCTACTTTTGTCCCAATCGAAACTTCAAAATTTCATGGTGTTCGATCGGTTTTTGTCGAAAACGTAGACCCAAAGGCATTTGTCAACTTGTGTCAGATGAAGGTGGAACCCATAACGGTTTTGCTATTTCACTTGTGACATGTTTTTGGACTCTTGTATTTTGATTTTTTGTCCATAGGATCTTACATTAAGATTCGTGTTTGTATAGATCCAACTTGTAGTTACACTCTTACAAAACACTTATATTTGGTTATAGAGCATTTACACTCAGTTACAATGCACCAAAATTAGATTTCACAACTGCATTTGTTTCCAGATTTACGATTTTGACATATTTATCCTCTTCTTCTATTTAAAGCACTCCATCCATTAAAAAAAAAGCTAACCTCACAACTAGTATAACGAATCTGGACACACATCCTAATACAATGAATCTAAAACCTAGATATACTTTATATACAGATTCGTTGACACATCTTACTAAGAGGTTGTTTTTTTTGGGACAGAAGGAGCAGACTGTATCCATTAGTTGAAAATTTTAACTCCCAACCTATCCAAAAATCAATAGGTAGGTGATGTTCATTTATCCTGAAGATAAAGATGAAGATTATGTTTTTTTTGCAAAACGAGATGGTATTAATATATGATTGATTAAGTTTTAAATATTATAAATTTGAAAAATAAATTAATATGATATTTTTTGAGCAACTTTTATATAGAAAGTTTTTACACGAAACACATCGTTTAACAGTTTAAAAAACATGACATGAAAATCTTAATATTCATCCAGCTTTTATTGGAGAAAATAACAGGACCGTAGTCACGCACAAACAGTCTGCAGCTGCATTGCACCGCGTGGCTGATAAGACGAAGAGAGGAGAGCCTTGGGCCCCTTTCACCTCTTTAACCCCAGCCAGCAGCAGAACCAGTCGCGGGGGGGCCTCGCGGGCGCTTTGAATTGAACTGGCCACGGGGCGAGAACTCGGCGAAATCCATCCACAATCCCGCACGGCAAAACGCGCAAAAAGAGGGGAAACTGCAATGAAAAAGGGGCCAGCATGCGCGAACGCACAGCCCCCGGCCGCGCCCAGATCCCGCTCTGTCGCCGTCGCCGCTGGCTGCCACCCTTCCCCCTCCCCTCCTCCCCTCCCCCGCGCGTCGTCTTTCTCCTCTAATCTCTCCTTCTCTTAACCCGCCTCCCCTCCCGTTCTCCCCGCAGATCGCAGTTTTTTCACCGTCCTCCGCCCGTGCAGTTGACGCTTCCGCCTCCCACACTGCGTCTGCGTGCGCACACAGCACCAATTCGAAACCCCTCCCCGCACTCCCTCCCCCTCCCTTCCTTGCCTTGCCTAGGCGGCAACGCCTCCCGTCCTTTATAACCCTGCGGCTCCTCCCGCGTGAGGCACCGAGGCCCGGGTGGTAGACCGCGGGACCCGAGCCGAGCCGTGCCCTGCCCTGCCCTTCCTCCGCCCAGGGTCGCAGCCAGGTCGTCGTCGTCGTCGGAGGGGGAAGAGAGCCGCGGCGGCGTCAGGAGGAGGAGGAGGGGCGAGATGGAGGCGGAGAAGAAGCCGCCGGCGGTGTCCGACGTCGGGGCGTGGGCGATGAACGTCGTCAGCTCCGTCGGCATCATCATGGCAAACAAGCAGCTCATGTCCTCCTCCGGCTACGCCTTCTCCTTCGGTACCCTTCGCGCCTTCGCGCGCTCCTCCTCCTCCCCTTTCCCCTCTCCGCAGATCTGGATCCGCAGGTTCGGGTTTGTTCCTGGTGACGCCGCCGCGGGATCTGATTTTTTCTTCTTTTTTTCGTTTCCTCCTTTGGTCGAATGCAGCCACGACGCTGACCGGATTCCACTTCACGGTCACGGCGCTCGTCGGATGGATCTCCAACGCCACCGGCTACTCCGTATCCAAGCACGTCCCGCTCTGGGAGCTCGTCTGGTTCTCCCTCGTCGCCAACACGTCCATCACCGGGATGAACCTTAGTCTCATGCTCAACTCCGTCGGTTTCTATCAGGTATTGTATATTTACTAGGTTGCCCATTTGCCTGGAATGTTTGTATATGCCGTCTTGTGCTCTTGTGTGGCTGAAGGTGCGAAACCTCTGCAAACCTGTAGATCTCGAAATTGAGCATGATCCCGGTGGTTTGCTTGATGGAATGGGTGCTCAACAGCAAGCACTACACCACCAAGGTTATATCGGCCGTGGTCGTCGTGGCGGCGGGTGTTGGGATTTGCACGGTCACGGATGTGGAGGTCAATGCCAAGGGATTCATCTGCGCTTGCGTGGCTGTCTTCTGCACGTCGCTTCAACAGATTGTGAGTTTTTCTCCCCCCTTAATCCTGATACTGGACCTGTGCTGTTATGCATTTCAAATTCCCCTTTAGGATGTTAAAAATACTAGTTATGGATACTGCAATTGCCAACTACTCAAGCGTTTTTTTGTTAACACTATAGGCTTGATACTCTTTTGAAACTGAATCATGTTGCTGAGGATGAAAAAAATCAGTTTTTTTTTATTGAACAATGGTGTAGCAATGTTTTTGTGGTGGCACTTGTTTTTCAATCTTCTGTTAATTTACTTAGGACATTCTGTTGTAACACTATTCTGAATTGCGATAGCATTCAAACTAAAGTGTGGATGCTAGAACCTTGCCATTGAGTCCTCAGAATACAGAAAACTCAGAAACAGCCAATCTAAACTGTAGAATAGTAATGCTGGCCATAGAATTGTACATGGAATGTTTATTTTCGCATCATAAGCTGTAGATTTGCAATTCTCACGAGTCGTGATAGACTATTTTTATGTACCCCTTCAGCCTTGATACTTTACATTGTGGAATTTACATGCTAGCTGTGAATCACTTTGAAGATTTACGACCAAGCTGAAGCAACTTTTGGACTATTTACCAGTTTCTAAAACTTGGATCAGGCTGTGGTCCAACTAGGGCAACCGGGGACGGCTCCTTTTAGGATACTACTAGAGATATTTTTTGGGGGTGAAATGGACTATAAATTATTTTATTAGATTGTCCAGCTCAGGATTTGACTTAGAATACGACCTGCAAGCTGCAATATCCATCATGGGAACATGTCAATAGGCAAAAACCAAGCTGGGCCATCACCCCTCTATTGCTAGGATGGGACTATGGGAACTAAAGCCTATATAAGTGTTGAACAGGATCATATAACTATGAGTTGAGATTGGATTCAACATAACTCAAGTGATAATAACTACTATATTATTGAACCGTAGACAGACAGTTTGAAGTGGCAGTCGGACCTGTGAACTGGACTGCAAGTGGTTCACCGGCCAGCTTTTAAAAACTATGCCTATGATGTTTATATTCCTGTAATCTTATTGCATTGGACAGTGATAAATATTTATGGCTCTTCGTACGGTAATAATTTTGATACATAAGTTGGTTTTTGAAATTTGTGGAAGATGATTACTTAAATCTGAATGCTGATGGATCCTTCTTTGTAAATTATATGCTGAGTTCTGACAATGCGTTACTTGTCCTTGTCCCAGACAATTGGCTCCTTTCAGAAGAAGTACAACATAGGGTCATTTGAACTTCTCAGCAAAACTGCACCAATACAGGCTGTGTCTCTTATTATACTTGGTCCCTTTGCTGACTATTACCTCAATGGGCGATGGTTATTAAACTACAACTTCTCAACTGGGGCAACTGTAAGTTCTCTCGCATGTGCATGTCACAATTTTCTATTCATGACAGCACTCTTTCCAAATGAATGATACCTTTGCCATGTTATTGTATCTTCTACTCTAGATTTGTGCTAGTACTATTGAGTATTTTATTGGAATGTTTCATCAATGATTTCTCCCATTCTTCATGTTGAGTGGACATCCCCGCATCAGTACACCACTAGTAAATTGTCAACTTTGTTTCCCATTGAAATATTATTTGTTTTGCCTAATGTTCATCCCAAGAAAATTGTTGAACGATTAGTTTCTATTCTATGACTACAGCACGGTGAAACTGGAATTTACTGCTAACCAAACAGAACAGTTCCTATCATGCAGTTTTCGTGCTGTGGTCTGTTTTAATCATTATGCACTTCTCCTTGTTGCTTTAATACTCCTACTGGGAATTCTTAAAACATGTTCTAACAACTTGCTATGTTAATAACTCTGCAGTTCTTCATATTGCTTTCTTGCTCCTTGGCTGTCTTCTGCAACATGAGCCAGTACCTCTGCATCGGCCGGTTCTCTGCAACTTCGTTCCAGGTCCTGGGCCACATGAAGACCGTGTGCGTGCTGATTCTTGGCTGGATCCTGTTCGACTCGGCCCTCACCGTGAAGAACATCCTCGGGATGCTGCTCGCCGTGATGGGCATGGTGGTCTACAGCTGGGCCGTGGAGACCGAGAAGAAGGCCTCCGCCCCAATCCCCCGGAACAAGAGCGACATGCTGGACGACTCCGAGGACGTTCCCCTCAAGGCCAGGGTGAGCGGCCTCCCCTCGTCCGACCTCGAGGAAGGCGAGATGAAGAGCTAGCTAATGACATATTATTTATTCATTCTTCTTGTTCCTTTCTTTTTTGTACGTGTTCAAATCCATATATTGCCCCCATTCTGGGGGAAGTTCTTGAAGCTATCGGCACTTGTGTTAATTTTGCCTCCTCCCTTGTTCCTGGGGTTCATAGATGATGATGATGCTGATGAACCCCAGCCGGTCTCGACGTAGATGACCATTTTAGAAGCCATGTTCTTGATGGCGTGTTGTTATTATAGATGACAAGACTTATAATGGAATACAGGTGTTTATCCGTTGTAGGATGATTCTGTTGAAGCTGTCGATATTTTTTTTCTTCTTTTTTGCTTGAGGTTTGGCTACCTGTCTGCTTGTGCTGCCATGGTGGTGGTATCTTTCGCCATGAGTGCTATGCGCATCGGCATCGTGCATTTTGTCGGGGTTGCCTGCCTCACATGGGAGATGGTGGGATTGGACAGTGGCACGTGGCGAAGGCCGGCAACGAGGATGTCGACGGCGGCCGGCTGCCGGCCCAGCGAGGAAAAGCCACGGCCAATGACGGGAATACTACCTTCTTGTCTTTCTCTGCATGTGACGTGTGAATAGTTTTGAACTTTAGATGTTTTTATTATACTCTCGGTTTTGGTAGTTCTTTGTCCAATCAACTTTGTAGATATAATTGGAGAATATTCGTAATTTGATGGGTAATGGGTTCTGTGGAGTTCGATTCAGTTGGCTTCTTGTAAAGTATAATCCGCCTTTGGGAGTTTGGGCGTGACAAGTGGCGTAATCATCAACCTTAAAACGTGTAAATGAGTCATGTGTCATGCTATACATAGGGTTCAACCTCTATGAGGGTAGGATAAATTTCAAGTCGAGTTGCCTAATTTTCCAGTCAGGGTACTGGGTAACCCCACCTTCATAAACACCATGATAAAAAGGAGTACTAATCACAAGAATGCACAATCACACACCAGTCCATGCACGCTTTGCACTGGACGATATCACCACATACATGTCCCCCTCTTTTGTTTGCCATCAACTTTGTCCAAACTGCCACCATATGCATTGGAAAATCCCTTGCCTATCCGGTTAGTCTTGTAGACTCCAATCACCTGGCTGTCTTGACACGGAACTCGGATCAAGCTGCTGATTCCGAACATAATTAACTTATTTTAGCGAAAAGTACAAAAAATTAATTATGTTTCACAATACAATTGAAATATATATACACTCTCCGTAAAAAAAAAAAAAACTAGAAGTGAATGTGATATGTTCGGATTTATTGTACTAGGATATGTCACATACAGCTGTAGGTTTGTATTTTTTTTTTACGGAGAGAGTATGTTTGATTGAAAATAATGTTAATCATCATCCTATTGAAAATAACAAAATGGAAAGAACTTCTCCAATTTGTTTATTTCTAAAGGAAGACCCCCTTTTTGTCAGCTTCCTTCCTTACCCTTGAATGTTCTCATCAACTGCTCCTACAGTTCTACTGCTATTATACTGCTACCAGTACATTCTTGACAGTCTTTCCACCCTTTTGCCTGCATGTGTTTTGAAATTCTTCATTTCTTCCCGGGCCCGTGGTCTGTGAAGTCAAATTGGATCGTTTAGTTTATCTGTTTTACTTATCATTCACCTGATCTCCTAAACACTAGTTGGTCCACGCATGTATCCCTTTAACTTGCACAGTCGCGGCACATGATCTACCCACTGGGACTTCCAAATGCACACACATACATGTGCTTTGAAAACGAATAGGCGAATAACTAACTCTCCACGACCACGTCTACCAGTACGTACTACTTGATGTTTTTTTTTGCTTTATTTATTTTTCCTCGTGTGTGATAGGATATTGAGCAATCTCATCGTCGGTACTTTGCAGAAATAACAAGGCAATATATATATACACGCCGTGTCGTACCCAATTGCTGCCGAATAAAATCGTTGGCAATATCATAAATCGATAGTACTCGAAAATGTGTGATGTGTGGTTGGTGGCTTGGTGCTACCGTGCTAGGATGATGCCAAGAAGTACGGTTTTCTTTTTTTGGAAATCTATTGTTCTATCTGACAAATCGGATTAAATCAAGATAAATTATTTTTCCGACAATTATCGCATCCCACGAAATTTCAACTATTACTATTTTACAAATAACATTGCAAAGTGTAGCACCCTTACATTATTTCTTCGGTATAAGAAGTTTTGGCCCTCGATATTTTTTTGTCTTTCTCTTAGCTCTAGTTAATATATATATATATATATATATTTTGTCTTGAGTGGTTTGGGGTTTTGTGCTATTGGGCCACACCATTAACTTTTTTTTTTACATATAACATCAATGATACTCCAAATCATTTGAAATTCTTTTCATTAAGGTTTTGTGCCACGCCATTAAGCTTTTTTTATATACATATAGTCAATGTTAGCTTATCTGAAATTCTTTTGAAGTGTATCAAATTATACCATCATTTGCACCAAGTAGGTATAATGCGACATCAACAAAAAGCACCATTAAAACCATCCATCATCCATGCGTCAAACATGGTTTGATGGTTTAAATATCTCACGGGTATTCAAAAGTTTCTTAAACAATGTTACCATACACTATGCAAAATTGCAAATGAAACCAAACTATATAGATTTCAACCATCTAAATTAAGCTGGCCACTCGTATACTCCCTTCGTCGTAAAACAAACCAATAGATATGATATATTATAATACTATACAGATTTGTGGGGTTAGATTTAATAAGTCTCAGCACAGCAACTGAACTTTCATCCTTTCGTTCCTACAGTTCGTCAGTTCGTCACTTGTCGCCGAGGGAGACTGGAATGCAAATCAAACGCACACGCCTTGCACGACGCACTCATGCGCACCTGCTCCCCCTATAAATCGAGCACAAAAAGCCTGTCTCTCCTCCCCACAGGTAGTGGAACGGAGCCACCGCCCAACTCGCCCCCAAAGTTGCCCATCTAGATAAGAAGAAGCGTCGCAACTCACGGTCGCAGTGCCACGCCCCACTTCATATCCTTTCCCTCCCCCAACTGAACGAAAAAAACAACAGAGAAAAACTCCTCCCTCCTCCTCCCCCTCTGAAGCCATGGCTGCCTTCCCCCCGCTCGCCGCCTCCCGCGTCCGCATCTCCCCTCTCATCCCCGCCGCCGCGATGGCTGGGACAGCAGGGGCGGCGGCGGCGTCGTACGCGCAGCACCGGCGGAGGTTCTGCGCCATCGTGGCGACCGCGGCGGCGTCACCGGTGCCGGCCGCGGCGGCGGCGGCGGCGACGGGGTTTGATTTTAACGCGTATATGGGTGAGAAGGCTGCGGCGGTGAACCGGGCGCTGGACGCGTCGATCCCGGCGGACGAGCCGCCCGCGGCGCTCCACGAGGCGATGCGGTACGCGCTGCTGGCGGGCGGGAAGCGGGTGCGGCCCGCGCTGTGCCTGGCGGCGTGCGCGGTGGTCGGGGGGCGGGAGGCCTGGGCGATGCCCGCCGCCGCCGCCGTCGAGATGGTGCACACCATGTCGCTCGTCCACGACGACCTCCCCTGCATGGACGACGACGACCTCCGCCGCGGGAAGCCCACCTGCCACGTCGTCTACGGGGAGCCCATCGCCGTGCTCACCGGCGACGCGCTGCTCTCCCTCTCCTTCCACCACATGGCCAGGTTCGACTCCTACCCTCCGGACATCGACGCTGACAAGCACCCCGCCCGCGTCGTCCGCGCCATTGGCGAGCTCGCGCGCTGCATAGGCTCCGAGGGCCTAGTCGCCGGCCAGGTCATCAACTCGTCATTTTCTATTCGATTCCTTATTCGAGCTAATTAAGAAAATACAAATTAAGCAATGCACTAATTATGTGGATCATACTCTTTCCTAATTGCTATGTTTTGTATTGCTATCTGCATACGTTTTAATTAGATGTTGTTAAGCAATGCACTAATTATGTGAATCATACTCCTTCCTAATTGCGATGTTTTGCATTATTATCTGCATCGTTTTGACTAGATGTTGTAAATACTCTTAAAATAGAATGTGACTTCGAGTTGTGTCGTTGCTGAAAATTGTTTGTTAAATTTTGGATAGGTTGTTGATCTTGAGATGACTGGATCGACCGAAACTGTACCTCTTGAACGTCTTGAGTACATCCATCTCCACAAAACTGCTGCATTGCTTGAGGCATCAGTGGTTATTGGGGCAATCTTGGGAGGTGGCTCTGATGAGCAGATTGAAAGTTTGCGCATGTATGCGAGATCGATAGGATTGTTGTTCCAGGTTGTTGATGATATACTTGATGTGACCAAGTCTTCTGAGGAGCTCGGCAAGACAGCAGGGAAGGACTTGGCGAGTGACAAGACGACATACCCGAAATTACTTGGGCTGGAGAAATCACGGGAGTTTGCAGAAAAGTTGCTTTCTGATGCAAGGGAACAACTTTCAGGATTTGATCAAGAGACCGCAGCACCACTTCTGCACCTGGCCAATTATATTGCCTATCGGCAGAACTGAGGTGATGGGTACTCCATTGATTATTGTTGATTTGTAACTTTGTAAGCTCATTAAGATTCAGATTTGAGGAATATCTGAATTATCTTGTGATACGTGCTAGTTGTAGTTTCTTATCTTGAGAAGAATATCTGGTTGACAAATGTCAATTTCCTAGTTAGTCAGTCAAAACGGAATAATGAAAATCAGCCTCTCTGCCCTATACCCCAATTGCTTGATTCTTGACAATTGAACACATCATATCATAAAGGAAGAAAATATTTTATCTTCATTGTTTTGATTGATTATCATAGTTCATGTTCATACCTGTTTTAGTGTTTATCCTACGCAATTGATTTCGTTTTATGTGATTGTATCAGGTTCGTTTTACAATGAGTGTCAATGTAAGCTTTGATTCAGGGATGAGCTTGTCTTGGAAATTGTTCTGTTGAACATGTGTTTCAGTGATGTTCTTCTGTTTACAGCAATTGGGATCAATGTTTCTCTAACAGCTATATATATGTATATTCTTGGTTCCAAGCATGCAGAAAACTTCAATCAGAGAAAGTGTTTAGTTACAGTGCCGTAGTAAATAAATCGGTTATAATTGATTCCTGTCTATAGGTGTGCATTCAGTCTTTTGGTCAATTCGCTTTGTAGCAAAATTCAGTTAGTCAAAACTCAGGAATGAATTGTTATTGGGAAAAGGCAAGACCGAAATTCGGTTAATCCTGTCTATTGCTCAAAAACCTATACAAGCCTTTCATAGTGAATGTAGCCCCTGCATAAGGTTTCCTGTACAGGTACAGTAGGACCTTGACTAAATGTTTTTCATTGGAATAATGGAATGGTTATAAGCTGCACCTTTCTTGTTCTTTTCTAGCTTCTTGCGCAAACTTATTGCTCTATCTTCTTGTCTTTGATCTCATTGTTTTACTGAAAGTACTGGGATTCAGGTGATATGGAAAGCACAAATGGGACTAAATTTGGTTCCCCGGTCCAGTTTGGCTGTCCATATGTGGTTTTAGTTTCCAAGTTGTTTGAACTGAAAAGAGTAGTCTGAAAAATTTCCCCATCATGCATAGAAGTTGAGCTGCAAGTCAAATGGTCACTGGTCAGTTTGAGCGTGGTATTCTTTTTCCTACCATGTGCTGTGGTGGTCTTCTGGTCACTTTGCCAGTGACCGCTGTAATTTGTAATTTTGTATCATGAGCTCCTTGGCATCCCAGTCCGAGTTCGCTTTCAAGACTTTCCAGTATCTTTGGTCGGAAGAAGAAAACAAAATCATTTGTTCTGACGTTTCCTAGTACTGTCTTCTGAATTTAGTAACCTGATGGATGGAAAAATATGAATAATGTGTTTTGACGTCGAAACATGAGTCCTCGGCACCCCAAGACTGAATTTGCTTCAAGAATTTTAGCATCTCGTTGGAACGAAAAACGAATCATGTGTTTTTGACATTTCCTAATTGCTGTTCTTCTAATTTCGTAACTTGATGGATGGACAATACGAACCATGTGTTTTGACATTTCGTAATGCTGTTTCGTGGAAAGGGCATCGTGACTAGACAACATCTTGGGAGAGAAGTAGGGAGTAGAAGCAGGCAATTAACACTTGATTGAACGTTCTTAATAGTTGACACCTTGATACTAAGTCTGAAAGTCTCCTCAGTTGCCCTAATAAATCAAAGTAAAAGCAAAAATTTAAATTCAAAATTGATTTTAAGATATTTTTAACATAATTATTTTTAGTGCTGAATTTTAAGTTGCTACGAAAATTATATAAAAATTTTACCAATAAATCCATCATGAAACTTGTTCGATGTCCGTATCCCGAACTCTGTACCTTAAACTATTTCATACTCTGGTCGTTTGGTGAAGTTGACCTACTGCAGCAGCAGCAGCACCACCATTTACGGTGAACATACTACTCCTACAAAAGAAAACTAAGAAGTTTTAGGCTGCTTTTCCACCCCCCCCCCTAACTTTCCCAATTTCTACTCACTTATTTTCTAGGATATTTAACTTTTTATCATTTTAAGATGCGGCAATTAAAAATTTGCCACTCGCAGTAAATGCCATGTTGGTCCAGTGGCAAGTCCTTAATTGTCACTTGTAACAGTGACAAATAGTTAATATTCCCTTATTTTCCACGGGCATGCTCCACAAAGTGTTAAACGGTGCATTTCTTTTAAAAAAATTGCTATATAAAAGATGTTGTAAAAAAATCATATTAATTTATTTTCAATTTTTTAAGCTAATAGTTAATTAATCATTTTCGTGCGAAGAGAAAAACTTCCTGCATTTTTTCTCCACTTTCTTAACTTCTCCTTCATCGTTTTTCACGCACACGCTTTTCCAATTGCTAAACTGTTTCTTTTAAAAAAATCCATTGGAAATTTGTATAAAAAATTAACATATAGGCAAATTTTGCTGTATGACACTGTGGCTTTATGGTTTTAGGTTTAGGACATGACAAAATTCGATCTTTGGGGAAGACATTATTAAAATATGATTATTTGCTGCAAGACGCCGCATGTATTAATATATTATTTTTTGGTTGAATAGGAGAGATAAATAGCGTGAAAAGTCAAAAATGCCCCTAACCCTACTTGTTATATACTTTCTCTTCCTCTTCCTCTTCCTCCTTATTTCCCCTTCCTGACATCGCTGCACGGGCACATCACTAGGGACATCCAAGTTAAAATCCATTAAAAGGAAAACCTTTGAAAGTCTAATATTTCGAAGAACAAATACATGGAAATCTAGAAGAGGAAAAAATAACGAAGCACTAATCTCATTTAGGCCCCAAATAAACGTTGGATTTAAAGTTTATATGCTAAATTATAGTGGTTTAACATTTTATATTATATCTAAAATAAAAGCAAAATGATTCATCCAAATGTTATTAAAGCAATGACACATCCAGATCTATAGATTTGTGACACTAGAAATATCCAACTTCAAAATAAATCCTAAATCGAAGTTGTGACAAATAGGTTTACCGTATCTATGGCCATCAAGGAACAAACAGGGTGATGAGCAGCACTACCATCGACTCGGATGATTGGGGCCTGGGGGTACTGGACTACATCCTCCCTCTTACCAGATGAACTCTTTCCAATAATGTGATTGCCGGTGTTGTATCTATATCCGGAGGCTCGTGTCAGATCAAAGTAACCTAATGCTCAACATCATAAAAAAGAAATTAAAATAGTACTAAAAGCCTTTATAAAACATGTGGTTTTAGAAGACCATACGCGGACTAATTGGTGGATGCATGAACCGACGTGTCGATTTTCAAGTATGTATAAAATCAAATGGCCCAACTCAAAAGACGGCGGCCAGAGGTGCGGGCGGCGCGACGGCCTTCGTGGATGGCGGCGGCGGCGCATCCTGGCGAGGGCGGCCGGGATCCGGCCTCCCTAGGCCAGATCTAGCCGGGAAGCTGCCGGGCTAGCGGCGGCTGCGGCTGGAGGTGGCGCAGCGCGGAGGCTGCGGCGCGTCAGCTGCGGCTGCACGGCGTCGGCATCGGCGGCGCTGGAGGTGGTGCGACGTCCGGGCAGCTGGACGACAGCGGTGGTGCCGGTGCCGGATGCGGTGCGGTGGCCGCGCTGCTGGACACCGGTGCCGGAGGCGGCGAGGCGGCCGGGCGGCTGGAGGCATGACCGGCGATGCTGGGCGGCCCGGGTGGCCATTGGTGGGCGGCGAGGTGGCGGCGGAGCGGTGGCTTCGGCGAGGCCGCCATTAAACCTGGCGGCAGGGTAGATCGCGCTGGCGGCGAGGTCGTCTTCCTTGTGGGTGGCTAGGCGTTCACTGTGTTTGGGGAGCTCCTCCCCTTCTTCGTGGGGAGCTTTTAGGCACGGTGGAGGCGTTGGCCGGCATACAGGGAAGACTCAGTTTGCCAAAGCGAGCTTGTTCCCGTTCCGGTCCCATAGGTCGGATTCGACATGGAGGCCGACGGACGGCGTGGCGGAGGTGGCCTGGGTCAGCGTGCAAGGGAGTGGAGGCAGGGTAAGGGCGCTGGCGGCGGGGTCGTCTTCCTTGTGGTCGGCCAGGCTAATCCTGTTTGGGGAACTCCTCCCCTTCTCTGTGGGGAGCTTCTTTGCAGGCTGGAGGCGGTGGTCAGTCTACAAGGAAAACTCAGGTTGCCGAGGCAATGTTGTTCCTTGTCTGGACTCCCTTGGGCCGCATTCGACGGGGATGCCGGCGTGCAGCGTGGCGGAGGCGGCCTGGGTCAGCGCGCTGGCGAAGGTGGGTGCTGTGGCAGTCTTGTCATTGGCAGGACGGGAAGCCGGCCGGCGGAGGGGCGTCGGTCGGGTGTGGCGGAAGCCATGTGCCGCCGATGTTTAGTTGGTGGTTTCGGATTTGGCGACGGACCATGGCGGTAAGGGGTTCCGAGCGAAAGCTTAGCCCAATTTCTTTGGGCCAATAATGACTTCGCTTTCGGGCGTGGTAACCCTCCTGAGGGCATTGTTGAGGTACCCCTTATCCCTCGACAGGGAGCTCTGGGTGAAAACCTTGTCCCGTTTTTGGGACGGATGACGACGGAGTTTTTGGCGTCGCAACCCTCGTGAGGGCGTCATTTTAGAGTCTTCGCGTTGTGGTGGTGTTATTGGCCCGGTGGCGATCGGTCTCGCATAGCGACGGCCGGTTCGGTGCTCGGCTTCCCTCTCTGTAGCGTGTGTTTGGGCGGTTGGCACACGTTCGGGGTGTGTGCTCTGGTGCACTTCCTTCCTCGACAGCCAACTCTGTAACCTTTTCTTCCAATCTTAATTACATTGAATGACCTCCTTTGGTCATTCCGGCAAAAAAAAAGATGGTATTTACTTAGCCTCGGCAGCCTACAAAATGTTCTTTGAAGTCATGTTTTCGTAAGCTGTTTTGGAAGGCAAGAGTTCTAGGAAAGTGTAAACTTTTTATGTGGTTGGTGAGTTAGGGAAGGTGCATGCTTGATGGCAGATAATCTGCAGTGGCGCGGCTGGCCTCACCAGGCCCTGTGTTCGTTGTGCCAAACGGACACCGAAACCTGCAATAGTGCAATGTCATGGGCTTTGAGCTGGGAGTCCTAGGCTCAATGGGAACGATATCCCCATCCCCGACGATAAGTACTTAGTGGATAGAGTTAGATCACTGTTAGGATCAGATTAAGGAGTTTGTTAGGATTAGGTTAAGGAGTCCTCCATCAATATAAGGAGGGATCATATCCTAGATCAGTTAGGTATTAAGGGGTTGTTTGGTTTGCAACTAAATTTACCACATCTAACCTTAGGCAAGCCATACTTTTAGTTGATAGTGTTTGGTTCCTACCACAACTTTATATTGCCTAACTCTTAGCCACCTAATCCACATGTCATAAACTCTATTTTCTTGCCTAATTTTGTCTAAGCTTAGTTTGTCATTCATCTTCATATTGTTTGTCACAAAAGTGTGGCAAGACTATTAGTCACCTTAGTAAAAAAAGAATGTGTGATAATATTAGTCCCCAACCAAACATACTCTAAATCAAGATTTATCTTAGTGTCCATTGACCCTGCCTTCTCGGTGCGACGGAGAGCATCGCGCTGTCTAGGTTATCTGTTTCTTTCTCTATTATAATCCAATCTATTCCCTTCACCCCGTCTCATCCTAAATAATCCCAGCACGTGACAACATGGTACTAGGTCGCTGTGCCTTCTCGTTGCAAATTTGGTTGAGAATCTGCCAACGGATAGGAACGGTGATGTTTTCACAGGAGATGGTCTCTTTTGCTGGGTGATACGAAGTCCGGAAGAAGGTTCACAAAGAACAGAGAAAACTGCTTGACTCGATGGTGATCCTCGTCGCATGGGAGATTTAGAAAGAGCGAAATGCCAGGGTACTCATTCGTATTTGGAAAAGAGTTCAATACGTGGAAATTAGCTGGCTTAATCCGGTCTTGAATGTATAGCATTAGTAGTTAACTGTTCTCACTACTAGGACCGGCTACTCCTGGTGATCAGCTTGTATATATTTTGTTGTTCGTAGCACCTATTTTGTGATGTACCCTTCTCTCCTTCCGCCGTTCTGGCGAAAAGAGAAGGTAACACACCATTTATTTTCAGAAGTTGTCCATACTCCTTTGCGAACTGGAGCAACTTTATGTAATCCTTGGAAATAATATGCCCACTAGAAAAATGTTGTACCAAAAGGTACGATGACTGAATCACGCCATTCCTGTTCGTTCCTAAGAACCAATATACTACGACATTGACAGGAGCTCCATTTCATATACAACACAGAAACCTCAAATGAGTGTTATAGTCAAGCGATCAGGTAATACGTTGAATTTTGCTGATAGACGACTTCTGAAGTTTGGTATATAATGGAGAGCCACAGGAGATCACAGCACATCAGTATCCAGCTTTCTGTTTAATTATATCAGGTGCTATCTCTGAAGATCTTTTCGCCTTTTTTTTTTTATCTTTCGAGTCACTAAGTCAAGTTTGGTGGGCGGCTTTCTTGCTTGTTATCCTGATCTGAGCACATTTCATCAATTCATCTGTGTGTCTGAAAGTCTGAATGTCTGATTCGATTCTGGAGATACACTGCGCAGGGAGCACCGGCGGGATGCCCTTCAAGACGGGTCCAACAAGCACATGCGCACATGCCGGCTGATTTGCCGATCAACTCCTGGACTTCGAACCGTACTGCCATCGAATATTGTTCATAGCCACTGACCACTTCAGTTCTTCGCTAAGTCAAATGCCAGCAAGTCCAATCCTGGTCGTAGGATAAGAGAAAATGATGGAACTCCAGCTCTGCTGTTCATGTTACTTCACTTAACGTTCGCTCAGGAAGATGAAACAGCGAATCGTATGTGTTTCTCCTGTCCGTTCGCTCAGGCTTTGTGGACGCAGATCAACGTTCAACCGCAAGCTCAAGACGTCACGCAGTTCCATCGTTTGGGTCCAACTACGCAAGTTCCGGCGCTACACTGGCAGGTCTTCTTCCTGCTTTGCATGTGGGCTATTTGGAATCATCGACACGATGTTGTTTTCCGGGGGAAAAGCCCCTCACTAAGAGCCTGCCTACAACGATGCATCACCGAGGCAGCTCTCTGGGCAGAGAACTTAACGGAAGATGATCGATTTGTAATCTCTGTTGGGAAACAAATCTTCTCCTCCCCATTACAATCTATCAATCTTTTGTAATGAACTTCGTACCTCTAATTGCAATGACAAATTCAGGTGGGGAATCTCTCCCCCCCCCCCCCCCCCCCTATTTAGTCAAAAAAAAAAAAACTTCACTTAACAGATCTGAGACAAGACAAGTGACTCATTGCAGAATCGTTGCAATTCTCACACAAAGGTTTGCAGGGAAAAAAAATAAAATTCTAGGTTTTAAGGTAAGTTGATTGGGGTTGCAAAATTCTAGGTTTTAAGGTAAGTTGACTCGTTTTAATTTTCCTTTCTATGTTTGGCAGCAATGGCGGCTGCCAAGGTGGTCGCCAACTTGCAGATTCTTGGCTTGTGTTTGCTCCATCTCTGCCTCGCCGCGTCCGCCGCCGCGTACTATCCGGACATGTTGCTGGAGACGTCGTTCATCCCACGCGACTACGCCCGCTACGCCGACGAGCTGTCGCCGTTCGATCCCGTCGGCGCCGGCGTGCTGGCTCGCGATCTGTCCTTCGCCAATGGCGACTGGGGCCAGGACGCCGGCCGCGCGCCGCTGATGCCGTCGCAAGGTGGCGACTCGCCGTTCCTCCGCCTCGCGACCTTCGCCGTCACGCACATCGACACCGACGCGTTGCGGCGGCGGCGGCCCGCGATGTCCGCCGTCAACGTCAGCGGGGTGCTCAGCTTCACAATCACCCGCAACTGCTGCTGCTCGTCGGAGTATGCGGTGCCGCACCGGCAAGTGTCGCCGGAGTTCAAGCTCCTTCCCGGCGCTTCGAGGCTCACTATACTGTTCGAGGGCGTGTACACCGAGACGAGGTCGCCGGGTAACGACGACGACATCGGCGGCGGCGAGAGGGTGCTGTGCATGGTCGGGAACGGTGTTCTCCCCATGCGCGGCGGCGACAGCGCGGACCCGTGGGCCTGGGCGAGGAATGCCGGCGACGGCAGCTTCGAACCGCCGGTCATGGCCGACGGCAACATGGTGCTCATGCTACGGTACCCGAAGGTGCACACGTTAACGACCCGAGCGGTGCGTGGCGAGCTGACGAGCACGAGCGCCGCCTCGCACAATGCTTACTTCGACGCAGTCCGGCTGGTGTCGCGGATTGGCCAGTACTCCAGCTACCTGTTCCGGCCAGAACACGGCGAGCTCGCGGCCAACGGGTGCAGCACCAGCACGACGCGTCCCTTCGTCTGTGACGACGGCGTCGAGGGCAACTGCGCCGGCGACCTGCACGGAGGCGCCTCGTTCTGTGACATCCTCACCGAGTTATCTCCCGGTGACCATGGCGTGCTCGCCGTCGTCCCAAACTGGAACTGCAACTCCACCGACGAGTTCTGCAGCCAGCTAGGGCCGTTCCAGACTGGCGGCGGAGCCACGAACACGACGGACAGGATGCTCACCGGCTTCGCCATCGCGATGCAGGACCTCCGGTGCGAGCCGCACGGCGGCGAGAAGCCGGCCGCGAGGGTGTCGGCCGTGTTCCGTGCCGTGTCGCCGTGGGAGGACCAGCAGCTGGCGGTGAGGCGGACCGGTCTGGGCGGCGCGACGCTGTCGGCGGAGGGCGTGTGGAGGGCGTCGACGGGGCAGCTCTGCATGACGGGGTGCCTCGGCGTCATCGACGCCGCCGCCGTCGGCGACGAGGCGTGCCACTACCGCGTCTCGCTCCACGTCCCGACGACGTTCTCGATCCGCCGCCGCAGCATCATCGTGGGACAGATCACCGCCGGCGACGGCAGCCACTTCCCGCTCTCGTTCCACCAGAGCGTGCCTCCCAAACATCCATGGAACCGGTTCGGCCGCTCCGAGGCGTCGCTGCGCGTGGCGTACGACTACACGAAGGTCGAGAACGCCGGCGAGCTCCTCCGGAGGAGCGAGCCGTCCGGATTCCGGAGCAGCTCCATTGCAAAAGCACTAGTAAGCTATCCAAGGAAAGCCGGCGCCGCCGCCGCCGCCGCCGATGAGATGATGAGTCTCTCCGACCTCGCCGACGACCTGAGCCTCCACTTCCAACCCGGTCCAAGGCTGCCGTTCTTGCCGGAGCAGAAAGTGTGGCCGCAATGGCCGGCGTTACACCTCGATATGCTCTCTGTCGGGCCGCTCGTCGGAAGCTACTCGCCGCCGTTGCGGACATTGCCTAGTACGACGGTGGCACGGGCTGAGATTGACGGCGGCGTGGAGCAACAGCAGCATCAGCTTCTGAACGTGTCCGCCGTGTTGAGCTTGTCCGGGAAGATGTTCGGCTGGAGTCCGGTGATGTCGCTGGAGGGCGTGTACAACCAGGAGGACGGCCGAATGTACCTGATCGGCTGCCGGAACGTCGAGGCGCCATGGCGAATCGTGTCGACGAGCAGAGACCTCGAAGACGGCATGGACTGTTCGATCGAGGTTAGGGTGGAGTACCGCCGAAGACGACGCGGTGGCTGTTCAGCCCGACGGCGACGGCGTGCATCTCCAGCACGAGGGACGCCGGCGACCCGCTGCATTTCAACACGACCGAGCTGCGCACGACGCCGATCTCTTACCGCGGCGGGCGCCGCGACGCGCCGCCGGACACACTCACGGAGCAGACCATCGAGGGGCTCGTCTGCATCGCCATGCTGTCGGGCACCATCGCCGCCGCCGTCGGCCAGCTGCGCTACATCGCGTCCCACCCGGACGTCGCGCCGTACGTCTCCCTCGTCGCGCTCGGCGTCCAGGCCGTCGGCTACACCGCGACGCTGGTCACCGACGCCAAGATGCTCCCGGCGTGGCCGACGTACAACTACCGGATGTACGTCGGCCACCTCCACTGGAACATGGACTCCACCGTGAAGGCCCTCACCCTCGCCGCGCTCCTCCTCACGCTGCGCCTCGCGCAGAAGGTGCGGCGGTCGAGGGCCCGGGCGCGCGCGCGGTCGCCGGCCGAGCCGGGGCGCGTCCCGAGCGACGGCGCCGTGCTCCTGCGCAGCTCCGGCGTCTACCTTGCCGGCCTCGTCTTCGTCCTCGCCGTCCATGCCGTGGCCACGCACACCAGCTCGACGTCGAAGCAGGAGGTGTTCTTCGTTGAACAGAAGGCGGCAGCGGCGTCGCACGCGCCGCCGTCGTGCATGCGCACGAGGGGCGCCGTCGTGGAGCGCTACGTCGGCCTCGTGAAGGAGTGGTTCCTGCTGCCGCAGGTGATCGGCAACGCCGTGTGGCGCGTCAACTGCAAGCCCCTCAGGAACGCGTACTACGGCGGCGTCACCGCCGTGTGGATGCTGCCACACGTCTACCGCTATCTCCGGCCGCCGGAGGTGTACATCTACCGGCCCGAGGTGCAGGACGACGCCATGGCCTTCTACGAGAAGGCCACCGACGTGGTGGTGCCGGTCGTTGCTGTGGCGCTCGCCTTGTTGATCTACGTGCAGCAACGCTGGAACTACAAGATTGTTGGTTGGTCGTTGCTGAGAACGGAAGCACGTCTACTGATCATGACAAGAACAGTGGTCTTTGTCGCTGTAGATTGTTTTAAGAATCGTCTAGAAGTAAAATAATTAGTGACTGTTTTTTTTTTATCGGGAATGCTAGGGGACGGGATACCGTTCTCCAACGGGATAGCTCCTCTCCACACGCGATTCTTATCCATACACTCACTTGCCGCCGTCGCCGTCCCCCACCGCTGCCGCGCCCGTCCCCGTCGCCTCCTCCGCCGCCGCCGTGCTCGTCCGCCGCCGCCGCCACGCCCGTCCCCCGTCGACGCCGTCGCTGTCCCCCGCCGCCGCTGCGGCGTCCGTCCCCCGTCGCCGCCGCCGTCGCCGCCGCGCCCATCCCCCACCACCGTCGCGCCCGTCCTATGCCGCCGCCGTCGCCGTCGCCGTCCTCGGGGTGCTCCTCCCCCAACAGGATGTCCAACTATATCTAGTAGGAATCACCTGATACCTGGTAGGTATCATCCAATACCTCGCAAGTATCATGTGATACATGGTAGAAATCATCCGATACCTCGCGAGTATCACGTGATACGTGGTAAAAATCATCTGATACATGACAGGTATCGCATGATACCTCGTGAGTATCACGCGATACGTGGTTGAAATCATCTAATACTTGACAGGTTTCACATGATACCTTGCGAGTATCACGTGATACATGGTAGAAAATCGCATGATACCTGATAAGTATCACATGATACTTGCAGGTATCACCTGAAACGTGTGTAGAATCGTCTGATACCTGATAGGTATTACACTTGATACCTACTTGGGATCATCCTGTTATGTAGAATCGTCTGATACTTGATAGGTATCACACCTGATACCTACTCGGGATCATCCCGTTCGAAAACGGGATACCGTTATATAGCAGCCCCTTTTTTTAGAAGAGAATTAGTGACTGTTAACGACCCAAATTATGTCCAGATTTATGCAGCTATAGTAACCTTAACTTTGTCTCCTTCCCACCCCTCACAATAAGCCTTCGTCACCCTTGACTTGCTAGCGCCGGCAAGATCACAATGTCGGCCTCCGTCCTTCCCCCTCCCTCTCCCTCTCCCAACTCCTTCCTAACCTGGCTGTGTTCGGTACTAGGAGTTGGGAACCATCTCCTCCGCACGAAAAACGAAGCAGTCCATTAGCGCACGATTAATTAAGTATTAGCTTTTTTAAAAAAATAGATTAATTTAATTTTTTAAAGTAACTTTCGTATATAATTTTTTAAAGTAACTTTCGTATATAATTTTTTTTAAAAAAAGTACCGTTTAACCGTTCGAAAAACATATGCGTAGAAGACGATTGAGAGGGATTGGGAACCTGGTGAATCGAATGCAGCCTCAAGCAGCAGTGTCAAGGTGTCCCTTCCCCGCTATCTTCCCATCTTCGGGCGGCTCTCGCCACTAGAGATGCCACTACCACCATCACCTACTATATTATAACCATATACTCTGACTTCTGTGCCAATACCCACCGCTCTCGTCTAACCCAACGGCTCTGGTAGGGCAACGCGCTCTGTATTTGTAGTATTATATTACTTGGGGGCCTCTGCAACTCTCGTTCCACTTTGATTCTGTCTTTACTCCAATCAATTTTTTTTTGGAGTGCGTATCGCGTGGTTGAGTCTTTAACGGCCCTGTTTAGATGGGACTAAAAACTTTTAAGTCCCTATCACATCGGATATTTGAAAATTAATTATAAATATTAAACGTAGACTATTAATAAAACCCATCCATAATCTTGGACTAATTTGCGAGACGAATCTAATGAGCCTAATTAATCCATGATTAGCCTATGTGATGCTACAGTAAACATTCTCTAATTATAGATTAATTAGGCTTAAAAAATTTGTCTCGTGAATTAGCTTTTATTTATGTAATTAGTTTTGTAATTAGTCTATATTTAATACTCTAAATTAGTGTCTAAAGACAGGGACTTAAGTTAAGTCCCTGGATGTAAACACCACCTAAATATTGGCTAGAGACGATCGTGCAGCATGTGGTCAGAGATTGATCATAACTATCTTCAATCTCGGCTTAAAGATTCGGAGAAGATCATATCAGTAGCTCTTCTCGTTTCCAAGGATAACATGCTGCAGCCTGGAGAAGTCATAAGACAGCTTCAATCTTTCTTGGTGAAAGATTTGGAGCAGATTATGTCAATGTTCATTTGTAAGGTGTCCAATTATCCATTGTTATTTTCATCTCTCATAAACCCCAAAAAAAAACATCTTGCTGTTGCAGCAACAAGATCTCCGGAGCCGTCGATATGGGCACAAATTTGCTGTTTCTTCCAGAGTTCTTGCTGTATACGTGCATGATGGCATCATCATGTTTTGCTTACCAGTTCAACCCAAGCGAGGAAGCAGAGCACAGCTATCTTCGCTTTGCCGATGTCAAGCGGCAATGCCGGTCCGTGCTCACCTCGGCGTCCGAGCTCGCCGATAACGCGTACCGGGTCAAACGCGTGAAGCGTGAGCTATCCTTCGAGAAGGGCGACTGGCGCCAGGACGCCGGCACGGATCCGCTGGTGCCATTCGACGGCGGCGACGCGGCGGAGGATGGCCGCCGGCCGCCGCTGGACCCGCTCCGTCTCGCCACGTTCGTGGTCACGCATGTCGACGACGATGACGAGCGCCGTGCGCGCAATGCTGTCAACGTCAGTGGCCTCCTCGTCCTCACGATCTCCCGGACGAGCGCTTCACCGGAGATCGGGTACCACGTGCCGGTCGTGTCCTCGCCGGTGTTCGAGCTTTTGCCCGGCAGCACCAAGCTCAGGATTGTGTTTGAAGGCGTGTACACGGAGGCAGCGAGGTCCGGCAATGGCGGCGGCGAGAGGGTGTTGTGCATGGTCGGGGCCGGCGTTCTCCCAACGCGCGGCGCCGACGGTGCCGATCCGTGGGGCTGGGCCAAGAACTCCGGCCGTGCTGGCTTCCAGCCGCCGGTCGCCACCGACGAGAGCATGCTGCTCGTGCTACGTTACCCGAAGGAGCTTACACTGACGACCCGAGCGGTGGTCGGCGAGATGAGGAGCACGCGCGCCATGTCGGACGCCGCCTACTTCGACACGGTGAAGCTCGTGTCCGGGCCCACCTGGAACCGCCAGTACGAGTTCCGGCGCCCCGAGGAGCTTGCTGCGGCCGCCGGGACGTGCAGGCCGCTCACCTCGAGCGACGACGGCGGCAACCGCGCGAGGGATCTGTACAAGGGCAGGCATCTGTGCGACGTCCTGGAACGCTACATCCATGGCGTGATCACCGCGCGCCCAACCTGGCGCCACTGCAACTCGACGGCGACGGGCGCGCCGTGCCCGTTCGAGATGGACCGCGCAGAGGACGCCGCCATCGTCGGCATCGTACTGCACGACCTCCGGTGCCTGGGGTACGACCTCGACATGGCCGGCAACCCCGGGGGCGTGAAGGTGTCCGTCGTGTTCCGCGCCCTGTCTCCACGGGAGCACTGGTACACGGCGGTGCAGCGCACGGCGCTGAGCGGGGCGACGCTGTCGGCCGAGGGCGTGTGGAACGCGTCGGCAGGGGAGGTGTCCATGGTGGCATGCCGCGGCATCGGCGGCAAGGCGTGCCACTTCCGGGTGTGCCTGTCCTTCCCGGCGACGTTCTCCATCACCGGCCGCGACATGATGCTCGGAGAGATAACCACCGTCGACGTCAACGAAACCGGCGGCGGCGCACGCTCCTCGCTGTCGTTCCGGCAGCGCATGCCTCCGCCACGGCTGCAGAGATGCGTCTCCGGTATACTGCCAGTGGTATACAGGTACAACTACACGAAGGTCAAGCTCGCCGGCGAGTTTCTCCGGAGGAACTCGTCGCCGTCCGACTTGAGGGAGATCATTGCGAGGTCTCTACCCTTGAGCTATCCAAACTGCGGCGGCAATGGCGATGGCAAGAGAAGCCTGGCCGACCTCGCCGACAGGCTCACGCTCCGGTTTACGGCGATGCCAAGCTTGTTCTCCCCTCCTGGATGGATGGAGCGGCCGGTCCTTCACCTCGAGGTCTTCTTCCTCGGCCAGCTGATCGAACGATTCATGCCAGCATCCGACGATGCCACCACGAGATCAAGCGCAATACCCGGCGATGAGCCCTGCTTGCAAGAGCAGCGGCTACTGAACGTGTCGGCGGAGCTCACCATCTTCGGCGACCTTCGTGTTGCGAGCTCTGCGATGTCGCTGGAGGGCGTGTACGATCGAGAGGATGGCCGGATGTACCTGATAGGCTGCCGGGATGTCCATCATCTCCCATGGCGAAGCTCGTCGGCGAGAAGGGAACTCGAGCTCGAAGAAGGAATGGACTGTTCGATCGAGGTGAAAGTGGAGTACCCGCCGCCGACGACGCACTGGTTCGTCAGGTCGACGGCGAGGGTTCAGATCGCGAGCACAAGGGTCGCCGGCGACGACCCGCTGCACTTCGATACGGTGAAGCTCAGGGCCCAGCCGGTCCGATATCCGCGGCGGTGGCCGGACTTCGTCTCCAGAGCAATCGTCGACAGTGTCCTTTGTGTCGTGTTGCTGACGGCCACCATCGCCGCCGCGCTCTGTCAGCTGCACCACCTCAAGCACCACGCCGACGTCGCGCCGTACGTCTCCCTCGTCATGCTCGGCGTCCAAGCTCTCGGGCTCGTCATGCCGCTCTTCGCCGGCATGGAGGCGCTACTGGCACGGGTCACCGTGCAGCCGGAGCTTGACACCACCAGGCCGCTGCCTCCCCCGGGTTCCTCCTACATGCTCGATTACAACCCGCCGTACCAGGCCGTCGACCGGACGGCGAAGATCCTCGCCGTCGCCGAGTTCTTGCTCACCCTGTGCATCGCGTGGAAGGTGCGGCGGTCGAGGGCGCGCCTGCTGGCCCGCTCGCCGGGCGAGGCGGCGCGCGTGCCGAGCGACGGCAAGGTGTTCGTCTACTGCTCCAGCGCGCACCTGGCCCTGTTCGTGGTCGTCCTCGCGCTGAACAGCAGCCGCGACGCCACCGTCGAGCAGCACGTTGGGCTGATGCAGGACATGTTCCTCCTCCCGCAGGTGATCGGCAACGCCGCGTGGAGCGTCAACTGCAAGCCCCTCGCGGGGAGCTTCTACGTCGGCATCACCGCCGCGCGCCTGCTCCCGCGCGTGTACGACCTCGTGCGCCCCACGCCGGTGGCGGACGTGTTCTCCGACGACGTCCACGCGTCAGCGACAGCGAGCGCCATCAGCCGGGAGGGCTTCTTCCCCAGGGCCGGCGACGTGGTGATGCCGCTCGCCGCCGTCTCGCTCGCTGGCGCGGTGTTCGTCCAGCAGCGGTGGAACTACGCCATTGTCAGTAGGATGGGCAACTCATCACAACAGCAGAAGTTGCATCACATCTTCTAATGCACAGGAGACATCACTTCTTGGGCTATATATGAGCCTTAATGGGCCCAAAATTACTGATGGGCCGTAATGAGCCGAATAATACTGATGGGCCAACAGATTACAGTATGGGCTGGGGTGACATGGCATGTGTTTTCCATGGTCTCCGGTCAAACCTCCGAGCGGGGGATCCGGCACATGGTCAATGGCGGACTAATGGTCCCCGTCTGCAGCCTAAGAGCAAGGATAATAACGTAGCCGGCTGGCTGAAAGCCACTGCCATGTCATTTAGCCATGCTCTAAAAGCTCACATGTATAATGAGTTGGCTATAAGCTGACTGATACATTACCTAATTGAAACATCTAAGCAATAATATATGCATGTGCAAAGCATCCGTTGTGGAGCAGGCGCTGGCTCAATCGCCAGCAACGGGCTGGAAGCGAGCGTTTCGTCTCGGGTATGACGCTCCGAGCCAGCGACTCGTGACTCGCCCATTTCCTTCTCTTTCTTGGTTTCTCGCTCCTCCACGTTAGATTCGGATGATGTAGCTGTTGATTTTGCCAGCTGACTGTACGTTACTATACTTGCTCTAATTACCCCCTCACTATCGCTCGCACGATTTTTATTACCGCCACGGACGGCGTGGCATAAATAAGTGGGGGCTTATAGCGTGTACAGTGCGTGAGTTCTCCTGCTACGTAGCAGTAGATCATGAGATTTAGCACCGTCCAGTCAAAGCAAACCAAACGCAGAGCTTTGAATCGTGGCTACACTGATGATCACTGTCACCTGGGCGACCTCCTGAGCCCCCCCTGCCGACCCTGTCTCCACACCCATTCGAGTATAGTATAATCGGATTAAGCCCCGTGACTAATTAAATCGCACACGTATATTGCACTAACGTCCAACACATTGTTGCGGAGCTCCAGGCGCAAGATGAACTTCCACGCCGTGTGCCGCTGCACGCTACGAGTACTAAACCGTAGCTGGTACTATCCCGTATCAGCCGGGAACGAGAGCGTCATTTCATCCGTTAACTCCCTCCAACGCCGCACTGAAACACAGGCGTATAAAACTACTGCGCCACTAGTAGTAAAAATAATTCTACTTGTGGAGAGAACTCCTTCAGCGAGGAGTTTACGTGTTAATTACTTGCCACAAAACCGGGCTTAACAGAATACAGGTATATATAGCTCGGATAGAGTTGTTGTGCATCTACTAAAACATAGGAAACTTATCTTATCTATCTAAACAGCCCAACAACTCTTATCCTTCGCTATTTGTTACATTATCATATGTGAGAAATATCTAACACTCCCCCTCAATCTGAACCTGTAAGGTTTAGATTGTTTCTAAACATCTCTAACTGTCTGACTGACAGTGTCTTGGTGAAGCCATCAGCAACTTGATCTTTGGTAGATATATATTCCACTTGTAAAAGTTTTCTTGCAACCCGCTCACGAACAAAGTGATAATCTACCTCGATATGCTTGGTGCGAGCATGAAAAACAGGATTAGCTGTCATATACTTTGCACCAATATTATCACACCATACCTTAGCAATTTTGGGTACCTGAATTCCCAGTTCATGAAGTAAGGTTTGTATCCACATAATCTCTGCAGTAGCATTAGCCAAAGCCTTATATTCTGCTTCTGTAATAGATCTGGATACAGTAGCTTGCTTACGTGCACTCCAGGACACAAGATTAGGCCCTATAAAAACAGCAAAACCCCCAGTAGAACGCCGATCATCCAAACATCCTGCCCAATCTGCATCAGAGAAAGCACTTACAAGAAGAGAATTAGACTTGCTAATTTTTAGCCCAAGCTTAACTGTATGTTTCAAATATCTCAAAATCCTCTTAGCCGCCGCCCAATGCTTAGTGGTTGGTGCATGCAAATACTGGCACACCTTATTTACTGAAAATGATAAATCTGGTCTAGTCAGAGTCAAATACTGCAATGCTCCAACCAGACTTCTGTACCTGGTACTGTCTTCTGGTCCAAGAGGATTACCTTCATGAGCACTTAATTTTTCTGAAATAGACAAAGGAGTATTGACTGCTTTACAGTCACTCATATTCACTCTCTTTAACACATCCATAGCATATTTCTCTTGTGTCAAAACTATGCCATCATTTACTTCTTTAACTTCAATGCCTAGGAAGTAATGCAGTCTTCCTAGATCCTTGAGTGCAAATTCTTGATTAAGATTCTTAAGCAAAGCATTAGTGGCATCAATAGATGAGCTGGCTACTATAATGTCATCCACATATACCAACATAAACATAGTAACATCTCCCTTACTGTAAAAGAACAAAGATGTATCTGACTTAGATGATTTAAAACCTAACTCATGCAGCTTAGTACTTAACCTGGAATACCATGCCCTGGGAGCCTGCTTTAAACCATATAAGGCCTTATCTAGTTTGCACACATAGCCATCTTTCTGTTCATAACCTGGTGGCTGCCTCATAAAGACATCTTCCTCTAGAACCCCATGAAGAAAGGCATTCTGTACATCTAGCTGACGAAGGGTCCAACCTCTAGAGATTGCTATGGACAAAATAGTTCTGATAGTAGCAGCCTTAACTACAGGACTGAAGGTATCCTCATAATCTATACCATATCTCTGTTTGAACCCCTTTGCCACAAGTCTAGCCTTATATCGATCTAGACTGCCATCGGCCTTTCGTTTGACCTTATAGACCCACTTACAATCTATTATATTCTGCCCTTTCTTAGAAGGAACTAGGTGCCAGGTTTTGTTTTTCATAAGAGCTTGATATTCACTATCCATTGCTTCTTTCCAATTTTTATCACCTAAAGCCTCATGCAAAGTTTGTGGTTCTCCAGAAGATGTAAAACAACTGTATCTAACTGTCCCATCAGTGTATATTTTCTCTTTTCTAATACCACTTTGTAACCTTGTTTTAGGTCGCATTACCTCAGATAGCTGTGCAGACTCAGACGGCGCAGATGATCCTGGCTGATGTGACTGCTGCGCACCACCTGACGAAGACGCGACAGCACGGGCAGGCGATGGAGGAGCAGCAGTAGGCGATGCAGCAGGCGACGTGGCGCGCGCGCTGGTTGGATGCCCGAGCGCTGCTGCTCCGACTCCCCCTGCGTCGCAGATCCGGAGGCCTGCCGCTGCAGCTGCGCCTGGACCGACGCTGAATCTGAGGCGGATTCTCCCGCCAAGTCGCCATTTGCTCCATGTACCCGGCCAAATGCCCCCGGTATATCTGAATTCACATTTCTGGGAGATTCTGCACATGAAATATCAGTAGCATTTGGCATAGAGATATTAAACAGATGATCATGATGTTCCTCTCCCCCTTGATCAGATGTTTTCTCATTGATTAGAGTAGGAGGAAGCAAAGAAATTTCAGCTCGAAGCCGGGCGCCAGCATTTGGATGAAGATTAGCAAAGGGAAACACTTGTTCATCAAAGGTGACATCACGAGATACATATACCCTGCCGGTAGAAACATCTAGACATTTGAACCCTTTGTGGATATTGCTAAAGCCAAGAAACACACATTGCTTTGAACGAAATTGAAGCTTATGAGTATTGTAGGGGCGCAAATTTGGCCAACATGCACAGCCAAATGTTCTTAGAGATTTATAATCTGGTGTTTGCTTAAACAACCGTTCAAGGGGTGTATCAAATTTTATGACCTTACTAGGAAGGCGATTAATGAAATAAGTAGTAGCTAAAAAGGCTTCATCCCAGAATTTCAAAGGCATGGAGGCATGAGCTAAAAGAGATAGACCAACTTCTACTATGTGGCGATGTTTGCGCTCTACAGCTCCATTTTGTTGATGTGTGTGAGGGCAAGAGACATGATGGGAGATCCCTATTTCATTAAAGAAAGTGTGCAGCTTAAGATATTCGCCTCCCCAATCAGTTTGCATCGAAAGAATTTTGCGATCAAATTGCCTTTCAACAAGTTTCTGAAATTCATGAAACTTCTGAAACACCTCAGATTTATGCTTAAGAAAGTAGATCCAAACGAATTTACTATAATCATCAATGAAACTAACATAGTATTTCTTTGCACCTACAGACTCAGAGGCAGGCCCCCACACATCGGAATGAATAAGTTCCAAAGGATTATTTGACACGCTAGTTGATCTAGGAAAAGGTAATTGATGACACTTTGCTTGTTGACAGGCATCACACACAGACTCATTGACAGAATTACTAAGACAAGGCAATTTATTTTGACTGAGAATTCTAAGAACAATTGGCTTGGAGAGATGACCAAGACGCCCATGCCACCTCTCAAAAGATGGCGTCGCAACGAAGGCCTGTCTCAAAGACAATCTGGCTGGAAGTGGGTACAGGCCTCGTCGACAGGGACCTTCAAGAATTGTCCTCCTCGTGGCCTTGTCCTTAATCAAAAAATATTTGCCATGAATTTCAAGAAAAGCATAATTATCTGCAACAAGTTTATGAACAGATACTAGATTTTTCGCCGCTTCAGGAACATGTAAAACATTTTTAAGATGCAAGGGGCGACTAGGAGTAGGAACAATAGCATGACCAACATGTTTAATACTCATACCTTCGCCACTTGCAGTGTGAATTTGATCTGTTCCCTTGTATCTCTCCTTGGTTGTCAATTTGTCTAGCTGCCCGGTAATGTGATTCGTCGCCCCAGTGTCAACATACCAGTTGGTATCAACACCGTAGGCGTATGTTGCAGCACCGCCAAGCTTCTCATCAGGAACATATGAGTCATCATAACGATGCCAGCAGTCGCTTGCAACATGCCCTCGCTTGTGACACACTTGGCACACGGGGCGAGTATCATTGCCTCGCCCGCGTCCCTGACTTGCGCCGCTAGGGGCGCCGCGGCCGTGACCGCCACGACCGAAGCCGCCGCGTCCGCCACCTCTGTTTCCAGTGCTGCTGCCGCGTCCACCACGACCACCACCTCGGTTTGCCGCATTTGCCGAAGTGGTGAGATAAGCTTGCCGAATCCGAATCCTGTTTTCATAACTCAAGAGCTGTGAATAAACATGAGAAATTGAAACTGGAGCAATCCTTGCCGTGGCCATCGGTCCTTCAACCGCGGCGTCGAATTCTGAATCCAGCCCGTTGATGATGTACGCCACCAGCTCCTCCTCATCCAGCGGCTTCCCTGCAGCCGCCATCTCGTCGGCGAGGGACCTCATCTTCGCAATATATTCGCTGATAGACATAGGTCCCTTCTGTGTGGTGGTTAAGGCGAGGAGTACATTGATTGTACCCGCCTTCGACTTGCACGAGAACATGTCATCAATCATGTTCCATGCCTGGGCCGCCGTCCTAGCGCCGGCCACTTGTTGCAGCACCTCCCTTGATAGAGAGGAGAAGATGAATCCGAGCACTTGCTGGTCCTGAACAAACCATGTCTTGTACTCAGGGTTGGGGATGACAATCTTGGTCTTCTTGTCCTTGTCGCCGTCTTCTTTTTCAATTTCAGCCGCCGGAGCTGCGGTCGTGCTGACGATGTGCTCCTCCAGCTGCGCACCTCGCAAGGTGGTGAGGATCTGTGCAGCCCAGAGAGGATGATTCTGTTTGGTTAGCTTCTCCGAGATTTGGAGGCCAAACAGAGGGTTGGAGATTGCCGCCGCCATAGAAGAGCTCGCCATGTCGCTGGGAGAAAGTTTGCACGACAGAACTAATCTAATCTAGCGGGAGGCTCTGATACCATGTGGAGATAACTCCTTCAGCGAGGAGTTTACGTGTTAATTACTTGCCACAAAACCGGGCTTAACAGAATACAGGTATATATAGCTCGGATAGAGTTGTTGTGCATCTACTAAAACATAGGAAACTTATCTTATCTATCTAAACAGCCCAACAACTCTTATCCTTCGCTATTTGTTACATTATTATATGTGAGAAATATCTAACACTACTCCACACTGTCCACAATTACTGCGAACCCGCAACGCACCAAAAGCCCCTACGCGCCACTCGCAGTTTAGCACGACTACGAGATGAGAGCACGTAGCATCTACGAGCACATGCCACGCATGCACCACAGTCCACAGTGCTATGTACTACTCCCACCTCACTCACCCGACGCACGCAGCGGCACAGAGCCAGCCAGCCACCCACAACACACACATCACACTGGCCGTCCTCCTCAAAAGCCGCGCCCTGCCTGGGAAGGCGGAGGAAAACGTGGGTCCGAAGGTGGGGACGCCACCACCACCAGTAGAATCTAGCCAATCCAGTTGCAATAAAGTATGCCCCTCCCGTACCCTCCTCGTGAGCTCGCCCACTGCGTCCCCACCACCCATACACGCCGAAGCCCCACGAGAGGGAAAGCACGCTACTGCTACTCGTCACCGCAGCGCACGCCACTAGACTAGCTAGAGCTAGCTGGCTACGCTACTCTACTCTCCCCTCCCTCTCATTAGTCAATACTGTAGCTGTAGTAGTGGTAGCACCCAACACCTCGCCATTAAAGAAACTTGAGCTCGCCAAGTGGAGAAAGGAGAGGTGGAGGAGAGGAGGGGAGGGGAGGGGAGGTGAGGGACGGAGCTGGTGGGTATGACGTCCGGGGCGGCGGCGGCGGGGAGGACGCCGACGTGGAAGGAGAGGGAGAACAACAAGAGGCGGGAGCGGCGGCGGCGTGCCATCGCCGCCAAGATCTTCACGGGGCTCCGGGCGCTCGGGAACTACAACCTCCCCAAGCACTGCGACAACAACGAGGTGCTCAAGGCGCTCTGCCGCGAGGCCGGCTGGGTTGTCGAGGACGACGGCACCACCTACCGCAAGGTCAGTTCATGCTTGCCCGTCTCGATCTGGTCTGGTCGTGTTGCTGTCCATTTCTTGGATCTTGGATGTGTAGATCTGGCCGGAGCTGAGCTGAGCTCGTGTTTCTTGTTTTTTTTTTGGTCGTTGCAGGGATGTAAGCCGCCGCCATCGTCGGCTGGGGGAGCGTCGGTGGGGATGAGCCCCTGCTCGTCAACGCAGCTGCTGAGCGCGCCGTCGTCGTCGTTCCCGAGCCCGGTGCCGTCGTACCACGCGAGCCCGGCGTCGTCGAGCTTCCCGAGCCCCAGCCGGATCGACAACCCGAGCGCCTCCTGCCTCCTCCCGTTCCTCCGGGGGCTCCCCAACCTCCCGCCGCTCCGCGTCTCCAGCAGCGCGCCCGTCACGCCGCCGCTCTCGTCGCCGACGGCGTCGCGGCCGCCCAAGATCAGGAAGCCGGACTGGGACGTCGACCCGTTCCGGCACCCCTTCTTCGCGGTCTCCGCGCCGGCGAGCCCCACCCGCGGCCGCCGCCTCGAGCACCCGGACACGATACCGGAGTGCGACGAGTCCGACGTCTCCACGGTGGACTCCGGCCGGTGGATCAGCTTCCAGATGGCCACGACGGCGCCGACGTCGCCCACCTACAACCTCGTCAACCCGGGCGCCTCCACCTCCAACTCCATGGAGATAGAAGGGACGGCCGGCCGAGGCGGCGCGGAGTTCGAGTTCGACAAGGGGAGGGTGACGCCATGGGAGGGCGAGAGGATCCACGAGGTCGCCGCCGAGGAGCTCGAGCTCACGCTCGGCGTCGGCGCGAAATGACGGCCATTATTGCCGAGCAAAAAAGATGGTTCCTTTCGTGGACCTCGAGCACCAGCTGATCATGGTTGTTGTTAGATCAGTACTGGTCAATGTGTATGATCATGACTACGCATCGATGCTGCGATTTGGGCGATTTCATTCTAGCCTTAGGTTAATCTTGTTGTTCAATTCATTCTTCCTGGACTTGGGAAAAAGGAAGCAGGGAAAAATTGTTCATCACGGCTGATTTTATTCACGGCTTCACTGTTCATCTCTGTGTTTCTTCTTCCCGTACCTGTCATGTGCATCTCCTCAAAATGTGTGACATCTTAGCTTGTGAGTAGAGTGAGGTAAAAAAATGCGGGGGGAGATGATGTTCAACTTTATGGCATGATCGCTTTGACGTACCGTTAAACCAGTACAGTGAGCTCCCGGTTTACTGTCTCTTTTAACTTATTTTCGCTTACTTTTGCTTTCTTTACAGTTTAGTGCTACGTAGAAATGTACGACGGCCAATGGGACTATACGAGCAAATTCAGAACGAATCCATCAGATTCGCCACCGTCACTCCAACGCAAACAATGGCATGTCTGCCGCAAGCACGGGCATTTTGTCCGCTTGCATATCAATATTCACTGGCTGGGAACAAGCCTTGCAGGTAGTTCGTCTTTTATCTTGAAGGGACAAATTTTGATCTAACTTATCCATTATCTGCTGCACTACTACTAATTAGACTGGCCAGTATTACTGCAGGCTGTGGATGGTTATTGGAATACCAATTAGGGACAGGAGGTATTGCACCAAGCACTCTCTTGCATGCTTGATGTGGCCGTGGGGATTGGAGGTGCCGAGGGAGGGGTATCTCCAAATAGTGCCATTGTACAGTGGCGCAATGGGCACACACGGTCGCACGGACGGCCGCTTTCTAGGGGCTAAAGCTGGTCACCTCAAATCAGATCCCATCCACTGCGCCTAGTGTTTTTTTCTCTTTCTGCGACGCCATGCGCTTCGGTATGGACTCGTGGTTGCTCGTTTCGTATCTACAGTGACCATATGTGGCAGGCATAATTGGCTCGGGCTAGTACACATCTGTAATAGCGGACAGGGCCACGGATACACACATGGTCTAGCTAACCAAAGATCAAATGGCCCAATGATTTTTCGATATAAAAACGGCTCGCGACTGCCTAAAATGGCACGTTCTGTAGTATATCGTAGTACACCATACGCGTCCGAGTCCACGGAACCCCAGCCAATCTACTACACCGTGGTTTGTGCGGTGTCCGCGCGTGTGTGACAGGGCACCCACCCGGGTGTGCGCATGCGTGCGCGCAGGCAGCGGGTGACTGGGCGCGCAGGGAGACGAGACGGGGACGGGGAGCTCGACGCATGTGACCCTATACCCCATGTGGACTTGTCCCGGCGATGCTAAGACATCGCGCGCAGCCAGCTTGCAGCACGCCGCACGCACCGAACGGTGCGGCGCGCGCGCAGCGGCGCAGGACCATTTTCTCGGGGATACTATTTGGCAACGCGTACTACTACGTGCAACGTACCGACCGTGTTCAACTCGCCGCTCGTGCGTCGGCGGCGACGACCCACCCGCCTGCGGTTGGGAGCGGCTGTTGGAGACAAAAATACCGGCTTGGAGTGTAGCAGCAACGTACGCGGCGCGTAACGACCGGCGACTAGTTTAGGTCCCTTTCTTGGTGCGTTGTCTATTCGGTTTGTTTGTGTTTTTGCAGCCTTGATCCATATACGATTCGAGTACACAATCATCAGCCAATTACAGCCCTAAAGATTCCGATTTCCTCCGTTTTTTGAATTTTTTTAGGCTAATCCGTTGTTTGACACGTCGCCTTAACAATTTTGATACTCCTTTCGCTCGTTGATGTGACCGGCTTCAGTTGATTATCCGGTTGATGGCTCCGCCGGCTGTTTCATGTATCCCTCTTGTAGCCGGTTGATGCGCATCTTGTTCCTGGTTTGGGTAGAGTGTTTTTTTTGTTTTGTTGCAAAGGGGCCCTTGTGTTCTTACATAATAGCGTGAAACCCTTTTAACACGCCAAGATTGTGAGTGGTTATTTATGTACAACTCCTTCGATTTCTTACAAATATAATGTGAAAAAGATAAAATTCCGTTTTATAGTACAATCCGGTGCGATCAGCAGGCTAGCAAGAGGGTAGCTAGTTGATTGTGCGGTACACGAAAACATGCGAATGTATGTATTCAAGGTTTAGAGTGTGAATGTAAATGAAGTATAGATTGATAGGGAGAGAGAGATATATTGAGCGAATGATTCATCTTTTTTATAATAAAATGTATTCCACTATTCCAGCCTTTGCGAGTTACAACTAATTGTCAAAAAGTTGTAGTTCAAAATGACTACAAATTATAAAACACAGTTAAATGGGAAAAATATAATTAACTGGAACACCAACCTAGGGACAAAGCTAGCATCCTGTTGCTAAACCTGTAAAATCTGAATATAATTCTCACTACTACAGAAAAAAAATTGACGAGAGCCCCTATAAGTTACAGGCGGACCGTAAGACCATAACTGGTTGCGCATGTAAAAATCAGCATGTATTTTCGCATTCGGCTCATTAAAAACTCACATAAAAAAATTAATTTTCATGAGTGGGTCTCTAATGGCTAGGGTCTAGGCCGGTGACTGGATATGGTTTGGGGATGAATCGGAGAACTAGGGTTTCGATTTTTGAATTTTTGATATTTTTATTTTTGCATGCATGAAAAAATCGTTATGTTCGCAAACCTTTTTGGGCAGACAGGCAGTCCAAACGCATGGAAAAGGTGGTTTTTGGCTGCGACGACGTACACTGAGGGATGAAAAACCGTACATGATCAGTGAAAAATTGTACTCCCTCCGTATTTTTTAATGTATAACGCTATTGACTTTTTAATCAACGTTTGACCATTCGTTTTATTTAAAATTTTTGTGCAAATATAAAAATATTTATGTCATGCTTAAAGAACATTTGATGACAAATCAAGTCATAATAAAATAAATGATAATTACATAAATTTTTGAATAAGACGAATGGTCAAACGTTGAACAAAAAGTCAACGGCGTCATACATTAAAATATTGAGGTAGTATATCTTTTTAAGTAGATTAGGTTAGATTAGATATCAGTAATATTTGAAATCAGTATACCACTGTTCTCTTTTCACGATTGCAACAAATTTCTGTCATGATCCCGTTTACCACTCATGAGCTTTCAATTAGTTGGGCCAAACACTACATCATCAGGCCTTTCAGCTCACCAGGAGCAGTGGCCGGCAATCCTCCGGCGGCCCATATGCTTCCAGGCCGCCAGGGCGTGGCGCTGTGGGAGGGTGCCACCTAGGGGCGCCACGGCCATTGCCTGGAAGCGGGAGAACACTTTGCCGGGAGTAGGAAAGCCGTGTCCGTGAGCTACTCGGATACGCGAGTATCTATATATTCAGATTGAGCCGCGGCGGCAGAAGGCAACGCGCCTTCGAATCCCTAACCCCTCAAGTTCGCTGTCTTGACTCTGCTATCGAAACCCGCATAGCTTTCGCCTTTCGGATTCGAGGGCGAGGCGCGCGCAGGGAACGCGATCGATCGTAGCCATGGCCGCCGCCGGAGAGGAGAAACCGTTGCCGGCGGAGGAAATCCAGGGGATCAACGACGAGGCGGAGCCGCATCCCCCGAGTCGTAACAAAGACTTCCTCCACAACGAGGAGTTCCAGCGTGTGATGCGCGACGTCGTCGTCGGCCCGGATTACGTTCCCGGAGGTACGTGACCGCTCTTCGATTGCCCCCTCCTCTTTGCCATGTGAGAACCATCATCCGGCCGGTCCGCGTAATTGGCGAATTAGTCTGGCTAATCCTTTGCGAATCCGGCCGGTCTTGTGCAGGATATGCGTTGAGGATTCTCACAGACCCAGCTACTGCGTTCGAAGAGCTCCTAGAGTACTACCGTAAGGCCGGTCTGATTGAAGGTGATGTACCCTTTTCCCGTCTTACTCTCTCTGTCTCTTTATTTTTCATCCCCGGAGTTTAATGCTGAGTCCTTGCTTCTTCTTCTTCTTCTTCTTTTCTTAATTCCCCAGGCCAAGTCTGGAAGCGTTATAACATCTTCGAGGAGGTGGAGGGGTTGGATAACTCGCAGGATGAGATAAAGATGGAGGAAGAGCCGATGAAAGTGGAAGAGGCCGTTCGCTGCCGAGGCAGAGACGCGACCCCTGATTGCCCCAATGAGGTGAAGAAACGGCGCTTGATGGACTCAGATCGCGAAGCGGTGCCATGCAACCTCCCTCAGGAGTGCCTCAGCAACTCTTGGTATGCTGCCGTTTGAGCTGTATTAACTCGATAACTGATGATTTGTTATCGATGATTGTGACTTCTGTTAGCATCCACAGATAATATTTTGGTGTATGCGTCTATTCCCTATCGTATGATTATATTTCCAAAACAATTTCTTTCTATACTTACCTATGTTCCAGACTGACCCATAATTTGTACTCTGTTTACAACTGTGGTTTATTGGGTTCTTGTGTGGAGTAAACTGATTTCTAGTTCACAAATCACAACGACATTACTAACTATTTTTAATCCAATGCCATTGGCCAGTTATTGTGAAGCTTAATTTGAAATGTAAACTTAATTTTAAGCTTGTGAGGATGAGTGAAACCAAGATACGTGGAGTGAACTTTCTGCTTGTTTGAAGTTGTTGGGTTGGGCAGGTGACAAATCACAATGTAAGTGTCGGGCGATTCCTAAGTATTTGTCCTTTGCATGCACTGAAATGAGATCATTGGTAGAGTGAGCTGATGTGACTATCTGGTCTCGTGGCTTAATTATCAGTAACTCAATAATAGACTTACAAATTTAGTACAAACCAGGAAGATGAACACAAATTGTGTAGATTGTATTGCGTGACTTAATTTTTCATGTTTAATGTCCTGAGCAAGTTGTGTCAGTTACTCCTACCTTTGCTCCGCTGTTAGTTTTTGGGTAAGTCACACTAGGTAGTAGCCGTTGTTTATTTTTCTGATCAGTGAGCATCTGACAACAAAATACAGTCAATCATTATTTCTTTGGTTAGCTTCTCCTGTGCTTTTTTGTTCGAGATGTAAACTTTTATGATCATTTAGGAGCTCTGGACAGTAATTTCGATATTGTGTTTAACTTCACTACATTTACATATAGGCAGTACATTTACAACTAGCCCCCTACAGCAACGAAGAGTGGTAAAAGAATTGCAATTTGCCCCTTCGTGTTACGTACCACCCTAAAACCCACAAAATCTCCAAATTCCTCGCCTCCCTCATCGCTATTCCGTACTTCACCACCACCCACCGCTCCCTCATCGCTACCCCGTACTTCACCGCCTGAGTCACTAACCCAAGCCATCGGGGGAGAAGGCGAGGGATTTTATGGGTTTCAGGGTGGTTATGTAGCGTGAAGGGTAAATTGTAATTCTTCCACAACTCTTCACTGCGGAGGGGCTAGCTATAAGTGTGTTGCCTACGTAGAATGCCACATCGGCCACATCGACGATCAGCTCTAGTCAAATGAGGTTTGTACCGGCTATGGTTCATTAAACCAAGATGGTGGATCTAGATGTGTAATTTTTAAATTTACGGGCCTAAGTGACACCGGCTCTCAAATTTAAGGACTGGCCATGTATTTTACTTTAAAAAAATCTGTCATGATCCCGTTTACCACTCTTGAGCTGTCAATTATTTGGGCCAAACACTACATTATGAGGTCTTTCAGCCCACCAGGCATAAAATGCCCACCACCACCAGGCCCAGTGAACGGCAATCCTCCGGTGGCCCATGCTTCCGGGCCGCCAGGGCGTGGCGCTGTGGCAGCGTGGCCATTGCCCATTGGCTGTTCCCCCTATGGCCTGGAAGCGGGAGAACACTTTGCCGAGAGTAGGAAAGCCGTGTCCGTGAGCTACTCGGATACGAGCCGCGGCAGAAGGCAACGCGGCTTCGAAGCCCTAACCCCCCAAATTCGCTGTCTTGACTCTGCTATCGAAACCCGCGCAGCTTTCGGATTCGAGGGCGAGGCGCGCGCAGGGAACGCGATCGATCGTAGCCATGGCCGCCGCCGGAGAGGAGAAACCGTTGCCGGCGGAGGAAATCCAGGGGATCAACGACGAGGCGGAGCCGCATCCCCCGAGGCGTAAGCGTAACGACGACTTACTCCACGACGAGGAGTTCCAGCGTGTGGTGCGCGACATCGTCATCGGCCCGGATAACGTTCCCGGCGGAGGTACGTGATTGCCCCCTCCTCTTTGCCATGTGAGAACTATATATCATCCGGCCATTCCGGCCGGTCCGCGTAATTGGCGAATTAGTCTGGCTAATCCTTTGCGAATCCGGCCGGTCTTGTGCAGGACATGCGTTGAGGATTATCAGAGACCCTGCTACTGCGTTCGAAGAGCTCCTAGAGTGCTACCGCAAGGCCGGCCTGCTAGAAGGTCAAGTCTGGAAGCGTTGTAACATCTTCAAGGGGTTGGAGGGGTTGGATAACTTGCAGGATGAGGTGAAGATGGAGGAGACAGTGAAAGAGGAGGAGGAGGAGGCGACAGGTTGCCGAGGCAGAGACGCGAGCCCTGATCGTCCCGATGAGCTGGCGAAGAAACGACGCTTGGATGGGCCTTGAGCTGGATTATGGATGCAACCTGCCATTTGAGCTGAGCTGTATTTAGTAACACTGTCAATTTTTACAACAGTAGAGAGATTCATTCAGTAACTAGTGATTGTTCTGCGTGATAACGACCGCAGTTACCATCCCTAGATAATACTAGTATAGCTAGCAATACTGGTGAGCCACAATCAGCAGTAACCCATGTTCCAAATTGACCCTTAATTTGTAACTTCGTTTTCTGAAGACTGAGGTTTAGTTGAATAGTTGATGTCATAGCTGGTCTTGTGGCCTATCGAACCTTGTGTGTGTTTTGTTTTCTTTAATGAAAGCGGGAGCGGTGTGGCCTTCTCTTTGGAAAAAAAAAGGGTCTTGTGGCTCACTAGCTCTCTAGTATTCTAGTAGTTACAAATTTATAAATCAGGATGATGAGCACAGCACATTGCTGCATAGGTTTCATCCTATTTGAATTACTTTGGAGTATTGGGGATGGTTGGTTCACTTGAGAACAGGGATATTCCAGGTAATAGGCTACAATTTGTGTCTATTGCGTGACATAAATTTTCATGTTGAATTAAATTTCGTGCCATGAGAAAATTGTGGCAGTTACTCCTACTTAGAGCAGGTACAATAGCAGGCTATTAGCCAGCTATAAACATATTTTAATGAGATAAACGATGAGAGAGAAGAGCAGCGGGCTACAGATTTGTAGCCAACCGCAGCACGGACTCCAAGACGCAATGTGTGTATGACAGGTGGGACCATATATTAATAGTATAGTAAGCTACTATTGTATTAATTGGCTATTAGCTCGGCTATAGATGAATTGGAGCTAGTAATGGGCTATACTATTGAACTTGCTCTTAGGCTATGTTCGCACATAGTGATTACGGAAAACGGAGCGGTCTATTAGCGCGTGATTAATTAAGTATTAGCTATTTTTTTTCAAAAATGGATTAATTTGATTTTTTAAGCAACTTTCGTATATAAACTTTTTGCAAAAAACATACTGTTTAGCAGTTTGAAAAGCGTGCGCGCGGAAAACAAGGGAGAGGGGTTGGGAAGAGGGGATACCGAACAGAGCCTTAGCTTTCTTGCTAGCCTTTGGGTAAATCGAGTTTTAAGGCCCCGTTTGGCAAAGCTCTAGCTCCCAACTCCAACTTACCTGGAGCTGGAGCTATGCCAAATGGTTCATATGCTCCGTTTTTAGGAGTGGAGTTAGCAGAGCTACTCCTGAAAAATGAACTACGGGGGTGGTGCTGGGTTTTTGCTGCTCCATAGCTCTACTACAATCTAAGACTCACTACCCTCTAATTTTTTAGTGTATTTATGCAAAAATGCCATTGAACTACCCCTTCCTACTCCTCTCCTCTTGTTCTCTCTCCTCTCCATCTTCCTCCCTAACCTCCTCCCGACGGCCACTTCATCTTTCCTCCCAACCTCCTTCTGACGGCCGCCCGCGTCGGCGCCTACGGCGGCAGCATACGGTGGCGGGGGCGACGGCGCGTCGGCGCACGGTCAGCAGTCGACGCGCGGCATCGGCATGCGGCTACGTCGACAGTGGCAGCGTCGTAAGGCGGCGCGGGTCGGCGATGGGCGTGCGGCGGCACGTGGGAGTAGCATCGGCGGCGGCAGCGGAGGGCAACGCGCGCGTGCTGAGCAGCGGCGTTGGCAGCGCGAGCTGAGCGGCGTCGGCGAGGCGATGCTAACGAGGTGTTCGATGAAATGCCAACAAGGGATGTGGTGGAGTGGAGCTAACCAATATAGTCAAACACTTTTGTATCCACTTTAGCTGCTATAGGAGCTACTTCCTCCGTTTCATATTATAAGACTTTTTAGCATTGCCCACATTTATACATATGTTAATGAATCTAGACATATATATGTACATAGATTTATTAACATCTATATGAATGTGAGCAATGCTAGAAAGTCTTATAACCTGAAACGAAGGTAGTAGCTCTCACTGGAGTTGGAGTTTAGAGTTAGGAGTTAGAGTTTGAAGTTTGGAGCCCTACCAAATAGGGCCATAATTTCACGTCATATCAAATATAATTTCGCATATCAAATACACAAGCTGCGTGGTGACTAAGGTGCTAAGGGCAGCAGGCCCATTTGGGTCAGGTGGAGACCGGCTGAGGAGCTGTTCCAGACTTGCAGTTGGGGGCTGGGCAGATGGCCCAGCCGGCCCAGTGAGGAGACGTGCAAAGCTGGCCCATCTATAAGCTAGCACGTGCGCGAGGAAAATTGGATATGAATTTTTGCGCGAGGACGATAAGAAAATCGGAGATATCCTTTTTTTTTTTTAATCTCGGACGAATATTTTTTTACGGACGAAAATTTCTAGCCATCTAGGTCAAGCCGTCAACTCCCGTGTCGTCTCCCTTCCTTCCGAGTTCGCCCACACCTTACGCCGCCGATCTATCTCGCAAGCAGGCCGCGACGCCGGCCGTCGTCCCGCCGCGCCATATCCATCCTGGTAAGCAATCCCATCCGTTATGCACATCCTCCCTCTCTCATTCATCTCTCTCTGACACCCACCTAACCCTAGTGTACCAAATCCCAAGTTAGACTGGACCCAGGTCCCAAGTTAGATCCGCCTGCTGATATTTAATTAATCAATCTAAGAAAGACATATCGATGGTGCTGACGAGTTAATTCTATTTGCTGTTCTATTTGAATTATGTCGGTCTAGTTAACTACTACAGTTAATTTCTCACGCTTTGCTGCGGGATATATGTAGATGAATGCATACTATACGTTATAAAAATAGTAGATGTATCTGTTTAAAAAGTGTGAAAAAAATATGAAGATAATGATTTGATATTATTTACCTATTGAGTTTTAAAAATATAACAAAATTATAAATGATATTTCAAATATTTTAAATAATAATTACTAGTGGATGATAGTGATAATGTGACACACTGTCATATTAAGCCTTAGGAGCTAGTGGACACCAATCATATAGTAAGATAGGACTGATGTCTCAAGTAGAAGATCGGTACGCATACTCTACTGGAGATAGAGATGCAACCTATCTGGTATATCTTTCTTGTATCATTGGAATGCTATCTTCACCGAGTGAGACCAGTCTCATGGGAGATTTTTTATTTCTGTAGTGGCGACTGGAGCGTACTTCGTTGGGTAGCTTTGTCATCACAATTTTTTCCACCTAGTACTTGATAAAATCAATTCGCCTAATGTACAACCTGACTAGAGGGATCAAGATAGGATCCCCCTAGCTTTTTTTTTTAATTTTTGATTAAACTAAATGACTAGTGAAAGAATCTTAAAGCAAGCCTTTTTTTTACTAGCAAAAATGCATGTCCGTTGCAATAGGTGAATATAATTTTCATGATGGATAAAAACTCGGCCAATTCAAATGATAAAACGAAACAAGATAAACAAAACAATGAAAAACAAAGTTAGAAATCATATAGCATTGAATCCAGTTGCGCTCGCTTCATGCATCATCATACGAAAAATCCCTTATATACACCTTTTAATAGCCTCACAAATCGATCGGGTGGCTAATCCGTAAATTGATGCATGGGTATTTGCTATAGATTGCTAAAGAGATATTATCATCGACCAAAGATTGAAATTTTGATTATTCAATTTGTGAAAGGTTTTTTTACTGTAGATTGGGCATTTGCAAAGTAACATCATACCTACCTTAAACAACGATAATTTCAAAAGGAAAGTATTTACGAGAGATATTAGGAAGAGAAAAAAAAGAGGAAAAAAAAGAAAAAGAGGATAATGGAGAGAAGATCAGAAGAAGAGGGACATGATCAGGATGATCGGAAGAAAAAGGAGATCAGAAGAAGAGGGAGAGGATCAGGATGATTGGAAGAAAAATAAAGTGAAAAAATGGAGAGAAAAAAGGTACTGATTGGGAGAGGAGCGCAAGCAGAGCGGCACTATGGTGTGGGTCGGTTGGGCTAGGCTAGGAGGAGGATATATAATAGTTATTCACGTTAAACTGGATACAGGCGATGCATCAAACGGCTGATAGAAATATCTTCAATTTTTATAAAGATAAAGATTTGATGGTAAACATCTATTATTGTTTCTCTCATTTTTTTTTGTTGTTTGTGGCTTTCGTCTTGTTATTTTTCTATTCTGTAAATGTTTAGCATTGTTTCTCTCTTTTTTTCGCTTACTCACTATAGTAGCGTCTGTATATATGAAATTTTTTCTATGAGAATAGTAATGCGAACATCCAACATCAGTGTGAAAAAAATGCATCTGTGCAATGTTCAATGGATGTCATGTGTGTTCTTACCAAGGGGACCTTTTAGCTATATCAAATATTGAAGCACATTGCTAAATTATTATTTTTTACTATGTTTTGGTTCAAATGGCCTTACACTTCATAATGATTCACTTCAACGCGCGAGATCTTACAACGTGAAAATCTTAGAGAGTAAATGGTATTGTTGGTACACAATAACATAAAACCTTATCAAGTGGGTGTAATTTTGTACATAATCTTGCAAACGATAGTTTTGGTTCACGAATTCGTCTGATGCGTGTTGTTTAAGACTTCAGCTCATGCCCATATTATTATTATTGTTTTTTTACCATGCAATGGTTATTAATTAATCGATCTCTCTGTAAGGCAAGCTGATGGAGCATGGTTAATTCTAATTTTCTGTTTGATTTGAATCAGATTGGTCTAACTGTTTGCACATTTTTGATGCCTCGAGTTTGTGATCGGACGGTGCTCTCGGGAGGTAGAGTCACCGCCGAGCTGTCATGCCTTTCTTGCTTCGGTGGGGGATGCTATCTTCACCGAGTAAGATCATGGGGGCTTCTTACTTGTGTAGTGGCATCTGGGATTGTACTTCGTAAAATCACTTTGTCATCACATTAACTTTTATCACTTAGTGCTTGATACTATCAATTCACCTAATGCACGACCTGACCGAAGGGATTACGACAGGTTACGTCTACCCATTTTGATTTTTGACGAAATGAATGACTTGTGAAAGAATCTTAAAGCGTCAGCCTGTTTTATTGGATGGTAAACCTCTAGTATTGTTTATCTCCATTTTTTTAAGGCTTCTGTCTTGTTATTCGATTATAAACATCTAAAATATTTGTTTCTCCATTTTTTTTGGTTGTTGGCTTACTTGCTTGTCCGTATATATGGAATTTGTTTTCTGTAATGCATCAGAAAAGATATTGCGTATGTCCAATGTTGTTCTTTGGATGGATATTACCAAGTAGATATTACTCAAGAATGGAAAGGCACTTGGGCAATTGGGCTTGGGACAGTCTATGAGTGCTGGGGTAGATCAGGGGCTAAGGGCATCTGCCTCAGGTTATTGGACGGTGTTCCAACAACATCCAAAGCATGATGTTGTTATTAACAACATCCACATCTGGATGCCCTGAAACATATACATAGCACCCATCCCACATTTACAAATTACTTCCTCCATAAGAAAGTATATGATATGTACTTTTAAAAATAAAAAGGTATAAATCTTTTGACCAACAATTAATTAGATTACAAATACACTTACCAACAATTAATCAGATTATTAACATATCTAGATGCCCTCGCTCTGCCTCCCATCCCACCTGCCATCGCGCGCTCCCCCCTCAAGTTGCGTTGCCCCGCACAACCGCTCAGTTCGTTGATGCCTTCTTCCTCTTGGACCCTCCGCCACACTGTTGAGTCACATGATCTGGATTGGAACGTCCTCTATCTCCGCAAAGCAATAAAGGCCATGGCTGCCAATCTACTAGCCTTGTAGCACCCCAAGTAACATTGTTTGTCTTCCTCGGCTCAAATGAGGCGAGCAAAGGAGAGGAGCACTGTTTGGGTGATAGTTTTGGTGATGGAACAATAGCAACGGTGATATGGCGGGACACATCTCATGGTGCGGCTCACCAAGGAAGGCCACTCCTAGTTCAGGGAACAATGGAAAAGCGGAGAACGGCGTGGCGAAGCTTGAGATCTGGCATTGGAAAGTATCTTTACCCAGTCTTTTTACAGCATAGCTCTAGCAAGCAATGGCGTGTATGTCAACCATGGACCAGAAGTCCCTGAACTAGTCGGGGATTTCGAAGCCATTGGTAGAGAAGAGCGCAACGACGAGCCTACCGCTGCTGTGAAACAGCAACTTCGGAGACGTCGGGACAAGAATCAGGCAACACCAGGGCATCCTTTGGCTTGGTTTGCCATCGAGCACCTGGCATGTGTGGTGAAACAACGCCTCCGGCCTCTCTCCGCGGCCGCTCTGGCGTGACCTCGAGTGTGCACAAAGAGTACAACTCGGGAGGTGGAGATAGATGAATAAAGGGGAGTTGGGGAGAAAGGAGGAAGAAGAAGAGGAGGGGTGAGGATGACATGTGGGGCCCATGTCGGCCTCACCATTTTTAAAATATTTTTTGTGTAACTGACATGTGGGCCCATAATTTTTATTATCTTCCAAATCAGATTGCCATTTAAGCTCCACGTCATTGTCACGTCATATGAAGACCGAGTCAAATTAACCACATAGGCGTCACGTCACCGAAAACCGTTGTCCATACCGTCATGGGACCTGTATTGCATTGGTTTTGACTGTTGAGGGACCCATTGTATCTGGTTTTTCGGTTGAGGGACGAACATCGGATTCGTTCACAAGTTAAAGGACCTCAAATGAACTTATTCCTAGGTGCGCCGATTGAGTTGGAGGGATGGAGGCCTTGTCAGAAGCCCACGTACGTATGCCGCGCCGAGCCAGGGGCGAAATGGGCCTGGCCTGGCAGAATCGCGTGGTGGTGTGTTGGTCCAGGTTGATCCGGAATTCTCTTTGGTCACGAGTATGAGTTGGATTTTTCACATTCTGATCGTTTTAGAAAACTTATTCTACAAATAGATCCTAAAAACTTATTCTTGAAATGACGCGGCTCCAACATCATTAGTGTCAGGCAAATTTTGCTATAGGACATCGCGACTTCGTGGTTTTAGCTATGAGACACCGCACGAAGTCACTTTTGAGGGAAGACACTCTCAAAATGTGATTATTTGCTAATGGACACCGCAGACAATAAAAAATAATTGCTAGTTCAATAGGAGAGAAAAACAGTGTAAAAGGTCAAAAATGCCCCCGGGCCCACTTTTCATATTCTTTCCCCACAACTAACTCCCTCTCGCACTCCGGCCATAGCACCACGTCCGGTCGTCGCAGGCGACCACCCCGAACCTCCCTCCTTGCCTCATCTACCCCCACCGGTGACGTCGTCCTCACCCCACGCATGGCCACGAGCGACGAGCTCGGCGCTGGGATGGAGACGAGAGACGTCACCTCTGCAAGGAGACAGGAGTCAGAAGAGCGAGAGAGAGAGAGAGAGAGAGAGAGGGAGGGAGGGAGGGAGGGAGGGAGGGAGGGAGCGCACGCCGACGGCGCTAACCTGTGACCCCGAGTAGCCTCCGCCACTGCCCGTTGCCATCCCACCGCCAGTGCCGTCCAACGCCCTCCTCGGCGCCGCTCGTCACCGTGAAGCATCTAGGCCCCCGGTGTTAATTTTGGTAATTAATGACAAGCACTAATTGTGGACTAACCGTTGTCTTTGAGCTATACATTTTAAGTTAGGTCCACGTCATATGTGCACATGGATGATTATCGATGGATTAAAATTGACGGCGCAAAGCAAAGGGAAAGAAGACGGTAAAACTAGCGCTTTAATTTAGAATTGATCGAGGTGTAGGGCGATCAAATTTGCTAGTTTAATTTTAGTTTCGCTGTACTATTAAGAGGGGTAATGACCTAGCAAAGAGATGATTTTAATTGCCACATTAGGTCATTGCATTTTCATTTGTGCTCTCTTTTTCATTACACAAATTCACTGGGTTCGGCCTGACCACTGGGTTCGGCGTGCCCTGGCCGGTCAGACCGGCTACATAGTGGCGGTCTGACCGGAGGCACTTTCCCGGTCAGACCGGCCTCTTGGAGGCCGAGACGATGCTGCTCGGGATGGCCGATACAGAGCCGACCGAGCTGTAGTCGGTCAGACCGAGCCGATGGCGGTCTGACCGGCCAGGCCGATGGGGCCCTCTGACAGGGCTACAACGGCTAGTTTTCTAGCCGTTGTAGAGTAGCACGGTCTGACCGGCCACATACCTCCGGTCAGACCGACAGAGCACAGAGTTGGGGGATTTCGCCCCCAACGGCTAGTTTTGGTGGGTGGGAGTATAAATACTCCCCCACCAGCAGCAAGGGGGCTCTCTTGGCACCCAATTCAATTGCATACACCCCTTGCACCTCTCTCACACTCACTTGAGCTTTGTGTTCATCCATCTAGTGTTAGAGGGTTGATTAGCCAAGAGTCAAGTGCATTTGCTTCCATTGTAGAGCTAGTGTGGCACTTGATCATCTCCACGTCGGGTCATTGCTTGTTACTCTTGGAGGTTGCCGCCTCCTAGACGGCTTGTGGAGAAGTTGCCCGGTGACCTCTCCGAGAAGATTGTGGAGGAGGCCCGGTGCCGGTTTGTGAGTGGTTTGGAGTTCACCACCTTCGGAGTGAAGGAAGAACTACCCTAGTGATCGAGGCTTGGGTAGTCCTCTCCGTGGGCCGGCTCCCGCCTTGCCCACCCCTTGACGAAGGGGGCGTGCGGAGGCTTCGTGGTTGAGCGGTGGAGTTGGGCTCGCCTCAACGGGGAGTAGGAAACCGACGAGTTTCCGAACCTCGGTGAAAAATCTCTTGTCTCCTTGTCTCATTTGTTTGTCGCATTTACTTTTGTGCAATTTACTTTTCTAGAGACAAACTTGAGATCATATCACCCTAGGATTGCTAAACATTGACATAGGAGTGTGATTTACTTTCCTAGAGATATAATTGAGCCTCTATCACCCTAGGTTTGCAAAACATAACTTAGTTGCTTAGTTAGAGTTGACCCTCACTAAGCCTAGCAACTTAGGTTAGTTTTGATTAGGTGTCATTTAGTTTTAAATCGCCTATTCACCCCCCCTCTAGTCGACATCTCGATCTTACAAGTGGTATCAGAGCGTGGTCTCTCTTGATTGGGCTTCACCGCCTAGAGAGAAGATGTCGAACGAGGTGAACCACGTAGGGAAGGCTCCCATGTTTAATGGCACAAACTATTCCACTTGGAAAATTAAAATGTCTACTCACCTCAAAGCTATGAGCTTCCATATTTGGAGTATTGTGGATGTAGGCTTTGCAATCACCGGCACGCCCTTGACGGAGATTGATCACCGCAACCTCCAACTCAATGCCCAAGCCATGAATGCTTTGTTCAACTCTTTGAGCCAAGAGGAGTTTGATAGAGTGAGCAACCTTGAGACCGCATATGAGATTTGGAACAAGTTGGCGGAGATCCATGAGGGCACAAGTGAGTACAAGGATGCCAAGCTTCACTTCCTCAAGATCCAATATGAGACATTCTCCATGTTGCCTCATGAGAGTGTGAATGACATGTATGGGAGGCTCAATGTCATTGTGAATGATCTCAAGGGGCTTGGGGCAAACTACACCGATCTCGAGGTTGCCCAAAAGATGCTTAGGGCTCTACCGGAGAAGTATGAGACCCTTGTCACCATGCTCATCAACTCCGACATGTCAAGGATGACACCGGCAAGCCTCTTGGGGAAGATCAACACCAATGACATGTATAAGTTGAAGAAAAAGGAAATGGAGGAAGCCTCACCTTCCAAGAAGTGCATTGCTCTCCAAGCCGAAGTTGAAGACAAGGGCAAGGGCAAGGTGAATGAAGTCAATGAGAACTTGGAAGAAGAGATTGCCCTTCTTGCTAGAAGGTTCAATGATTTCTTGGGAAGGAGAAAGGAGAGAGGAAAGGGCTCCAACTCAAATAGGAGAAGAAATAGAAGACCCAACAAGACTCTCTCCAACTTGAGGTGCTTTGAGTGTGGTGAGAAGGGATACTTTGCTTCCAAGTGCCCTTCCAAGGATGATGATGGAGACAAGTCATCTAAGAAGAAGAGTGGAGGCTACAAGCTCATGAAGAAGCTCAAGAAGGAAGGCAAGAAGATTGAGGCCTTCATCGGGGAATGGGACTCAAATGAGGAGAGCTCCGCCTCATCCGGGTCCGAGGAAGAAGATAGTGATAATGCAAGCTCCAAGAAGAAGAAGATGGCCGTTGTTGCCATCAAGGAGGCTCCATCACTCTTCG